GACACCTACCACTTTTGTTCTTCCCCTGGAGATCATAAGAGAGGAGAAGGGTCATATGACTGTGTTGGCTTTATGGCCACAGAAATTCACCTTCGTTGTGCTAAATTGCCGATTTAGCTAGCTAGTCGCTAGAGGAAGATTTTTACGTAGGGGAGCAACAAGGAAGTGATAATACCCGAGGTACATCCAAGTTACATTCTCCTTATGGTTGTACATATATAGAGTGTCGCATGATAAGAGGGGTATTGATTCATGCATGTCCGAAATAACTAGAATCTGCATATTCTGTTTCATAAGAGTATGATTGTAGTATATTATCTAATAAATTGATGATAAAGTATTCTTGCATGGCAATCTCGTTGGTCTTTTTGGCTACGTGGGGAAAGTTAATTAAGTGGGTTTTAGTGTTTGGGTCTCGAGGGAGAGAGATGAAGTGGGCGCTCTCCGTGGCTGAGGGCAGCTTTAATTTGGGTTGAGTTCTTGTTAATTACTATGCATTTGAAGGACAGTATATATATATATATATATATACATGCAAATGCAAGGAGGGAGGAGATAGATGCAGACATGTGGTTTGTTGTAATTAATTTATATAAATTGCTTATGCATACATATAAGTAGGTTATAAGTAATTGTGGTGCAATTATATTGTAATTGGTGGGTCTTAGAGACCCTTTTAAAATGGGCAAATGGTGGCAGAGAAGCAACCACCCATGAGTTTAAGAGTGAGTCACGTGAAGGGAGAAATAATGGGATCGTGTGATAGTGTCAAGCCTGGTTATGATATATATGTACCATGTATGTCAACAACTTTGGATTTAGTAAAATTTGTTCATGGAAGGATTCAGTTTGTTAATTATATATTCGTGTGGCTTTTCAAAGGAAAAGTGCGAGCGGGGAAATCATTGAAGCAAAATGGAATAGCTGAATAGCAACCGTGAGTAAATCTTAACCTAATGTTTATCTTAATATGATTATGGTATTCGGGTCATGAAGCGACCTGAGTACGAGGTATATGATAGCTTGGTAAGATTTAAATCGATAGTGATTGAAGTTTGCTATGTGGCATGATTACATGATTGAATGATGAGGAAATGATTGAATGATCCTATAATTGGATGATGTTACCATATAGTGGTAATTGTATGATATGCGACGATATGATGAAATGATCGTATGAAGGTGTGACGAGAAGGTCATAATACATGTTGTTATGTGTGTGCTAAATGATATTATGTGATGAGTATATGATATGTGAAATGTCATTTGAGGCGGTCAAGTGAAAAGAATGGCAAGAAAAGTTTCCTTTTGTCAATTATACGAGATGAGATAAAATGGCCTATGAGTCATGCAAGTGAATGTGATATGAAATGGCCCTTGGGTCACACAAGTGATATGTTGAGTTGTGACTAACTATAAGAATTGCATGGTCACCTAAAGCAAACGTAATGGCGCCCTGTCATGCACTCATTATAAGTGAAAAGAGGCTTCAAGCCTAAGAGATAAAAGAGTTATACGAGAACTCCTTTTAAGGAGAAATGCCAGGCCTGGCTACGAGTTTTACGAGATATGGCACTCTGTGCCCCACGAGTTTACGAGTTTTACGAGATATGGCACTCTGTGCCCCACGAGTTTACGAGTTCATGAGATATGGCACTCTGTGCCCACGAGTTCACGAGTTTATGAGATCTGGCACTTTGTGCCTATGAGATTACGAGTTCACGAGATCCCGGGGAGTGCATGACTTGGCAAATTAAAGAATAAAAGCTACTGAATCCAGCTAACTATATGTATGTGTATGATTGGATGCTGATTCATTGTTGATTTTGGGATGCAACATGAGTATGTGAATGCCAAGCTTGATATTTGTCATCTTTGTGTGATATATGACTGAGATGGCAATATTAATATTTTTCGTATTTGAGGTATAGAATGTGAACCCTTACGTGTGGTGTGTAAATGTTGATGTGTTTTATATGTCATATTAAGTGATATGAGGAACATGTTATGATGATCTCCTATGATGAGTAGTACAACGATTGATCAGGAAACTGTGACATAAGTAGTAATGATTTACTAATTTCATTATGGTAGTGCCATGAGTTATCGACGTGTATAATGTTATGAATCTACAACACATTCCTTGATGTGGTACGTGTTGATAGAAGTGTAAAATATGAAGGAAAATTCCGTATGGGATATAAGAATAAATACAAACCATATGCAACACTAGGCATGGTAAAGTAAAGGAGAAACCTTAAACGAAGGATATATGAAATATAGGAATGACCCATAACGTATACGTGATAGATCGAGTGAACAAGGGAAGAAATTTCGTATGAATCTACATAGGTGAGATTTAAGTAAATTTATTAAGTGATTAGATATACATTGAGTATAATGGATGGAAGACACTCCGAGTCACAACATAGCCTGATATCATTTTCGTATTAATATTTATGTTAGGTTATTATTTACTCATTGAGTGACGTCTCACCCCCGTCAATATTTTTCCCAGATGAATAGCTAAAATGGGTAAAGGCCATGGGACGAAGCAAGTTAGAGTTTGACATCGATGAGGTGGGCGGAAGGCTGAACTCTCCACATTGTTTCACATGAGCTATTTGAAGATGGGGTTTTCGCAGGAAAAAAAAATGAACCAAGAGTTTGAAGATTTTTGTAAATAGCTGACGATGTGCATACATTTTTATGGGTTTTAAATGGAGAAGAGCAGTTGGGTGTTACAGATAAAATTGTTACTAATGTCTGATTTAGTCACAAACATGATTTAAAATTGTTAATAATGAACGAGATTGATAATAAAAATGTCAATAATTACAAAAAATGCATATAAATATATTGATAATGATTATATAGTGGTCGGAAATAAATAACATGACTTAATCACATACATGCATAAGCCGCTTACCATTCGACCCTAACAAAATTGATAGTTCCAAGCAAAATCGTTAACAATTAAATGAGGATTTATTAATAACTCAAATATCGCAATCACGCGGATGGACAGAAAACTATTACTAGTTTGATGACGTTGAAACTATTGTAAGACAAGTACATATCAAAATCGTTAACAATTAAATGGGGATTTATTAATAGCACAAGAACATACCTACCCATGGGCCGGTGATGACCGTTCCTGGCATCGTAAAAAAAAAACCCCATTGAAAAAGAAAAAAAAAACAGTAACATACATTCACGCCGGCGCTGACGGTTCCTGGCTGCCTAAGAAGAAAAATCGACAATGAAGACCGGCGAAGACAAGGTTCAGCGATGACAAACGACCAAGGTCAGAGTAAAAAGGCCGCCATGCCATCTTTCAGTGCGGCGGGTACCCGAAACCACAACGTCAACTCCGACATCTTTTTCCCGGCGAGTATAATAAACGAGAAACGTGCTATCGTAAGTAAGTTTTTAGGCTTAAGCACTGGATCTGACACGATCACGGCCTGGGTACATGTGCTTAAAGCTATGGGGAGGTAGAAAAGTTATAGTGTTTTTTAATATGAGAAGTTATGTAAAATGACTATAAAAGATTTAGAATATAAAATATGAATAAAAATTCTAAACAATAAAAAGTAGTCAATATATGGATCTTGCTATATTTCATTTATATTAAATAATATGATTTTAAAAATTACTTTATTTTTATAATGATAGAAATTAAATAAAATTATATTTTTTGAAATAAGATTAAAATATGGTAAGGACAATTTTGTATTTTCAAAACAACTTATCACAAAAGCGTCGATTTGGAGCTTATGTTTTATGTTATACAAAAGCGTTTTCCTAAAGCTGAGCTTTAAGAGGTGTTTGGTCTGACTTCAACTTTTGAAATCGAAAAGCACTTCTAAAACCCGGATCAAACATAGGGATAAGTTCCCACAGTACTGTCAATTGCAGGGGAAGAAAAAAAGCTGTAGAAGAAGTGTACTTTCAGGATTCCTTGCTTACACCTTTAGATCTCTTGCTCTTCCCATTCCCTCACTCTTTTTGGCTGTCTTCTTCACCCCATTCCACTGGAAAGCCCCATGAAATCAATAAAGAGAATGGCTGATACCCTCATTGGCCACTAATGCCCTGTTGAATAATCAAAAGCTAGATTGTGAACGGAGACCCTGCCTTTCATGCAAGTAAGGAACCTCTTCACTGCAAAACCCTTTTCCCCAAAATTTCACTTTCAAGTTTATGTCAGGATAGATCATCCATCACAGGTTGGAAGACCTTGCTCTGCAGTCAGTACTGTGCACTGGAGCATATATATATATATTCTGCCAAGAAACCATGGGCTTGATTATGTATACTTCTCGGCTAACGGAATAAGGCAGCAAAAAGCGACGAGCAGTCGAAGCTCGGCTGTAGCAAAGCGCTTATGTTCGTTCCTTCACTCTTTTCCTTCGGTTAACCATATGATAAACTTTCGGGCTCACATAATGATAAACCTTTGCTACTTGAGCCGTATGCAGGGAACTCGCATGTGCGGTTCTTAGGGAGGAGCCATTCTATCCTACTACTCCTCGAGCCAATCACACTGACACATATGTTGTTCAATGTATGCTAACGTCGTAAGATTACCTTTTGACGAGTTAGTTTTCGTCAACAGCACCATCGTACCAGGAGATCAGACAAAAAATTTCCCGGTCAGGAAAAAGGAAATCCTGCCAAAGTGACAATCTACTCAGACAAGCAGGGGGAAAAACCCTAATGAAGACCGCATATTCTCTTCTCTTTGTTCTTTACTTGTGCTCCAAACAGTGAACAGCCAGACCATACATGAATCTCTAAAGAAACATTGATTGTCAAGTAACGAACAATGTTCTTGAGTGTCGCACAAGAAACCTCGATCTTCCAGCAAAACGAACAAATCAAAAAGCTTAAAATGAAGACCTTTTTCCACTTCTATAAAAACCAATGCTCTTCCAGAAATGAAAGCAAGAGCTAAAACCCAAACCTCCATTCCATCTCCCCATCTCAGCTCAACCATGCGACGTCCGGCAAATACGACGGCGCAGCAGCAGCAGCAGCAGCAGGCGGCTAGGCCCAAGAGCAGCCTCCTCCGCCTCGTGATCTTCGCAGTCGTGGGCCTGATCGTCTTACTGGGCCTGGCCGTCCTCATCGCCTGGCTCATCGTCAAGCCCAAGCGTCTCGTCTACACCATCGAGGACGCCTCCATCCGCAACTTCAACATCCAAAACGACCACCTCAACTCGTCGTTTCGCTTCGACTTCCGCGCCTACAACCCGAACAAGCGGATGTCGGTCTACTACGACGCCGTCGAGGTCTCCACGGCGTTCGACGGCCAGACCGTCGCGTTCAACACGCTGCCGCCGTTCCACCAGCCCAAGCGGAACGTGACGGTGCTGGAGGCCCGTCTCGAGGCCCGCGACGTGGCCCTGTCCAAGTCCCTGTCGAAGGACGTCCGGGCCCAGCGGGCCGACGGTGAAGTCAAAGTCAATGTCCGGATTCGGGCCAGGATCCGGTTCAAGGTCGGGGTCATCAAGCTGAGGCACCAGACGGTGAAAGTCCTCTGCCCCGCCGTGCCCGTCAGTTTCCGCTCCGGCCAGACCTTCCAGAAGACCGAGTGTGATTTGGATTATTGACCAAAAAAAAAAATTGATTTATTTGTTTTTTTCATCCTTGGGTGCTTCTTTTTTCGAGTGTTGATTTTTATTTATTTATTTGTTTATTTTTGTTTTCAAGTGAACATGCAATGAAATGGATGTTATCATCAGTATGGAGCCGTGTGAAAGAGCGACTACTCCGTGATTTTGTGAACTGGAAATCATTGTATTTTGAGGGGAATGTGGGAATTATTTGTAACTTGATTTTATTTTGTTAAAAATTGTTAATTACAATATTTCAAGTTGTTGTGAGAAGTTTGGTTATCGATTATATAATATTAATTAACACATTTTTTTTTATGATTAATCAGTTAGTTTCGATATCTCGAATTGTTAGAAGAAGGTTAATTATGGATTTTATACGACTGTCTAACACTCAAACGATTTATATGGGCTTGAATTTTGTACAAGTCCGAATACCATGTACAAATGATTGTAATCAAGATTCGAACATAAAACCTCTCGCTTACAAAAGGATCTGATAATTAGAGTTAGCAACCTATAATTATGGGAACTTTGTTTAGCACTTTACTCATTAATCTTTGCTTTATTATCAACTTTGTAATTAAGATGGCTAATCTCTAGCTTCCAATTTGTTGATGATGGTGGGGAACATTTTTTCCTCATGAAATACCAAACAAGACGTGCTTTAAACCCATGTGCTTAGCCTTAGCATTGCCTTCAAAAGGAAGATAGGTAGATTGCATTATCCTCCCAAGTTCTTAACAAAGAAGATCGATCCCACAATGTCGTTGGGGATTCTAACCAATCGGGACCCAAGTACCCAACCTTGCCCAAATGATGCAATAGAAATCAACATTTGGTGCCCTAAATAACAAACAAAACAGTCGCCGATTATTCCTTCGATCAAGTACTACCAACTGGTCCTCTCATTGGAGAGTTTGGTCATCGTTTTGATTCTTGAATGGATGGATTTTATATAGCCCTAATAAACATTCCAACATTTGGAGACACAGTGGGAGTGGAATCTCACATCGGGTTAGTTTTTCGATTTGCTTGAGTTATTGGTTAGATTGCTCTTTTGAAAGCGTTTGTGGCACTGTCCTGTGATCGCGTACATCGGAGTTTCAACCGAGCGTATCAATGATAAAACATCCACTCTCAATTCTCCTTGTTCGAGTGAAATACGTTTTTAGTAAGGATGGTTGCTCCGGCCTTTCCGTCTTAGAAAGTTTATTATAACAAATTATCTCCAAAAAAAATATAGTATCTCGCCTGAACCAACTCAACCCAATCCGTCCACTCACTCAATCGAACGTTGCACACGCATAGTTTGGAGGTCAGCTTGGTCTTTCCCTTCACGAAAGTGGGTAAGAGCTACACTCTTAAATGAGAGATGTTTATCTATAACCATTCGTATGATCATTCTCGCCAAAGTGATATTTTGAGACGTTTTTAACCGTAAAAGTGATTAACATTTCCATCACCTTTTTTACTTTTCAAGGGAGCACAGCAACTTGCAATGGTTGTTTTCTGATAGACCCCTCTCCATTATAATGTTCATCGATCATATATGAATGGAGTGTTTGTAGGAAGAACACTGAAGACAACTTTCCATTGGTAGGGAAAACGATGTGAAGAAGGATGAGGAGAAGCTGCTGAAAGACAGACAACCTACCTATTTTAACTCTTTCTGTTCTTCTATTCCGTTAGCGATCGATATTTGCCCATATGTGATTGGATCAATGATGTATTGTCATTGTAGGTCATGGCATTATTTCAGTTTTTTTTCCCCCTTCTTTCTCACATGGAATGATCCGGGCGGTATCGGCTTTCACATATTTATCGTACTCATTCGATTACAAAGAAATTGGTCGACGTTGAGATAAATCATTATAATTGTTATGAGATTAACTATTGTGATATGCGATTCCATATGATTGGAAGGATGTCAATTTAGACCTAATTCACATGATCTAATCAGTTGATCTCGATTCATCTCGTGTAAGTAAGTATTACCAGCGCCCACATTAACAAATAACAAAGTGAGATGGGATGTGGGTTTTACTCTCGTCTTGTTATTTCTTTCAATAAAGCGAATTACAACGTCAACTTAATAACGTGAACAACTAATTAGATCACGTTACGCTTAAAATATTTTGGATTTATCAGTCATGTTACTCTCTTTATAAACTAATTTACGACATATCTTTTCGTGTTACGTATGTTTATCAATCAAATAGATATGTCCCGAAGTATTACCGACATGACTGCACTCACCAAAGTAGCGATTAGTGAAAATTGAACCCTCATGGGTCTCCCTTCAATTATTAACTTAAAAAAGGCATAATAATTAATCACCATACAAGCTTTCATGACATACATCTATCCATTTGGATCCAGTCCTCTCCCTTTCATTTTTTTTGTCCTCACAACTTTGTACACCTTCTCTTTGTAGTTTTCTCCCTGTTTTAATTAAGATTGGATTTGTGATAAGAAAAGAACCGGGCGCCTGCATGCATTTTGCTCGAGGGGAGAAAGAGAAAGAAACTCAACAGTCATTTGCTCCCCACATGGAAGTCTGGTGGATGAGGCCGAAAGAAAGTAAAATGAATTTGGGGTATCCTTCTTACGTCTAAATGGTCACTAAATTATGATTTAACATAAGCAAAACCGCCCTCTATTTTCAATATGCGAAGAAGTGATCATTTTTTGGGTTCTTGAATCAGAATAAAATGGTGATCATAACTCCTAATTTTATATGATTTTTTGGTAAGTGATTGTAGATAAATCTGTTATCCTACGCGTCATGTTGACTTCCTCTATCTTTATTGTTCATGTCAGTCCAAATACTTCTAGGGTGCGTTTGGATAAGTGTATTTTAAATGTAAGGTATTTGAAATACTAGCATTTGAAATGGATGTATTTGAAGTATTAGCATTTGAAATACATGTAATTCAAATTCATTGTTTGGATACTCATTTGTAATTTGTTTGTATTTTTGTATTTATGATTTTCAATTTCAATTTTTAATTTTCTGGTCACTTACTACAAATTTTGGTAAATTATAGTTTGGTACCCAAAATTATTTTTTCTTACAATTTAGTACCTAAACTTTTAAAATTTTACAAAAAGGTCCTGACAATTTGATGGTAAAATTACATTTTGGTACCTTAATATGTTTTGCCTCATACTATAGTTCCTAAACTTTTCATATTTTACAAATAGGTCCATTCTTTTGTTAGGAGGTATTTCAAATCACTAGTTGTTGAAATGTATTTGAAGTTGACAAAAAATACACTAGACATGTATTTGGAAATCACCCCATGAATTTGACACAAATCCAAATACCAAATGTAATTAATATCCAAACACATGATTTGGTATTTAAAAATCCAAATCACAAATACCAAATCCAAATCCTTGTATCCAAACGCACCCCTACTTAATTAGTATCGAACCCTAAATTGTTTCTTGATTCTTGTAATGAGAAATTAATATTTATGATGTTTTCTCTCTTTTAATTACGTACATATCTATATGGGTCGACCTGTCTCATTCCGTGTCTCCATAATAAATTATCGTATCGGGACTCGACCTGCCATGAAAGTAATATGTGACTCAAGTTCGAAGAAAAACGACACAAAATTTACATTAATTAGTTCTTCTTTTACAAGATCAGTTCGAGTTGTGTTTGGTTGGATGTCGCAGAAGCTCAAAGTACAAAAAAGTGCAATCTGGCACACTCTTTAGGCCAACCATTTTCCCGTTTAGAGGAATGAGCTTAGTTTAATATGGCAACAAAAAGAGGTTTTGACATGATTTGGGCAAAAAAAGGAACGAAAGGGGCCTAATCAAAGCCCTAATATTAGATTACTCGAGGCTTATATATATTCACTGGCCGATCTTTTCTGTTTCCTTTTCAGTTTGTGAAGGATGGATGAAACATTTTGAACTAGATTGTATATAGGCAACTTTTAATCATTAAAGACAATAATCAACAATCAATATATACATATGAATTTCTTGCAATGGAATTTTAAACTCGAATTAGTGTTCGAGAAGACCTGTCATGTCCCATGATTACTTATAATTAATCAAGGTGCTTTATGGATATCCTTATTCAAATGAGGGAGCTAGAGTTATTTTTTATGTGTGAAAAATGGGATGAGATAGCATGCCTACCCATAAAAGGGTTGGCAAAATGACAACCCCTATTAATTATAGGTTTTTAAGGTAATTAATTTGTGTTGCATTTAATAATCTGTATGAATTAAAAACACATATTAATTACTTTCCTTTTTTCAGTGCACTGGTAGTTGTATCAGTGCACTGGTAGTTGTGTACAGGTGCAATGGTAGATGGATCACTGCAATGATAGTTCCAAAAAAGGAACGTAATTAATATGAGTTCAGTATACCAGTGCACTGATACAACTACCAGTACACTGAAAAAGGAAAATAATTAATATGTGTTTTTAATTCATACAGATTATTAAATGCAAAACAAATTAATTACCTTAAAAAACCTATAATTAATAGGGGTTGTCATTTTGCCAACCCATACAAGGGTTAGCATGCTAACCGATCCCGTGAAAAATGTGTTACAAGTTCGACGTAAAATGACTTGTGTGCATCAACTTAATTTCCAAAAACAGAAATGAGATTGAACATAATAAATGAAACTTATGGATTATTATTTCCACTTTGTGATTTTGAAATTGTGTTAAAGCATTTATCATTGTTGGATTCAACCAAGATAAGATTGAGATGCATTATTTTCACTCGAATCGACCTCTCTTAACTCAATTTAGACATAACATTATGAGATGCATTATTTTCACTCGAATCGACCTCTCTTAACTCGATTTAGACATAACATTATCAAGTAAAAACTCGACTCGAATTAGTTTAGGGACTGATTCGGACATATACCAAAAGTTATAAAAATAAAAATGAAAAGACAATATCTTTTTTTTTATCCAAACCTTTTTAAATTCTTTTATATTATCCAAACCTATTAAAATGCTATTAATTAGCCAAATCTTTCGTAGTGCATTAAAATATTAGCCATTTTTACGTTATCGTTAATAATTTTGTAATTTTTTTCTTAATTAAAATACTAAAATTTTGAAATGTTAACCTTCATATATATCTTCCAAATAAGTATCAGTCAATATTACTGACCAAAATTGCTAAATTGAGATGCATCACCCTTCTTCTCCTCCTTCACAATCACTTGCCGTTGGAGCGTTAATCAAGAAGAAGAAACCTGAACCTCTCCCACAAATTGCGACGCCCTGCCACGTTTCCCTCCCTTTCCCCAATTTCCTTCTTCTTCTCGCTACGGCCGCTGCCGAGGTTTCATCGTATATAAAAGCTCCCTTCTCTCTCTTTCTAGAGCGACGGTTAAACTGAGAAAATTCCCGCTTACGTGACCTTTCTTCCCCTTTTTACAACTCCCAAAGTCACCTTCCTTCCCTCTCAGCAACGCCAGTCTTTCACTTTCTCTCCCTTTCGATCCCCTCTAGGTTTCCGGTTCCTTTACTTCCACTCCATCGCCGTGGCAACCTTCGCCGGTAAGTTTCACCACGAAACTCTTGCTTACAATTTACCATGCCTTTGTTGTCCCTGTGCTGGATTCGGTGAGCTGTTGGTAGGAGCTCCCTGGTTTATAATGATGGTGATTTAGCCTTTCCTTCCCACTTGTTCTCGTTTCTTCTTGTTTGGTTCCTGCGAGATGGGGAATCGGAGCGGTGGTATGAATCTCTTGTTAGACTCGGGGCATTGGAGAATCCGTTGGACTGTGGAATTGGTGGAGCCTCGGCCAGCTGGGATTCGGAAATGCGGCTTCGAGAGATTTGGTCTCTTGGCTTGTCCTGCATTGGAATAGGCCGGCTGATTGAAGATTTTAGTGCTTTAGGGCTTTTGATTGAATTGGATTCAAATCCCTATCTCAGTTGGTGACGGGAATTCTTATGTTTCTATGAAGTTTTTGGTGACGGAAAATCTTATGTTTCTATGAAATTCCATATAAATTAGGAAGCGGATCTTAGCTAACGCTATTTCTCTGTGATGTCTGGTTTCCCTGTCAGGTACTTGATTCAGTAGTTTTAATCAGTTACTTCAATTAGTTTTGCATACATTCTCACTGTTTCTCTTTTGAATTGATGCAGTAATGAGTTGCCTGATCGCGTGCCCATTAGTGATGCTTGGTCCCGTTCAGCTTAAGCAGAAGATGGGTTGAGACGGTTTCTTAGCTTACTCCACAGTTAATCTGGATTTCGGCGACTGATGGCTATTGCTGCTGGCCTGCAAAATGTTTCTGTACCTGATTCACCGTTCATGAGGGAACCACAATCCGGATCAGGCCGGAATCAAGGCAGTGATGGGAGGGGTAGCACCCATGCGTCTTCTCTCCTGAGAATGTGGAGGGAGCTTGAGGATGAGCATGGGGTGAGTCATGGTCAGGGTAGAGTTGGTGAGAGATTGCTCCAGTACAGGGGTGAGGTCTTGAGCAACCTGTCAAGGGGAGATGATGTTTCCGATGGGAACCATAGTGGTAGTGATGAACATGAGGAGGTGAGGACTGTTAGCGGAGGGGAGAGTGAGTATGGACATGAGGATGATCGATCTGATTTTGGGGAGATAGAGAGGGAGAGAGTGAGGCAAATTTTTCGGGAGTGGATGAGTAGTGGCGGTGCAAGGGAACGCAGCACTCCTCATGTGTCCAGGAGAAATGGGTCGAGGGCCGAATGGCTGGGTGAAACTGAGCAGCAGAGAGTGAGAGTCATACGGGAGTGGGTACAGAAGATAAACCATGGTCCTGCTGCTGGACAGATTGAACAAGTTCTTGATGGTCTTAATCTTCATCGTAGCGAAGGACCACCAGAGCGGCATTCCAGAAGGGGGATTCGTCGACTCTGTGGGAGGCAGGCTCTCCTTGACATGATTAAGAAGGTTGAGCGAGAAAGGCGAAGTGAGCTTCAAGGTTTACTGGAGCATAGGGCTGTTACTCAATTTCCTCATCGTAACAGGATTCAGGTTAGCTGCTGTTGAATATCCCTGGTCGATTATAGTTGTTGGTTACAATCGTTCACTGGTTCATGCTGATTATAACGGGTAGTCGTTGCTTAAAACACAAAGGTTCTTGTTATGGAAAATAATTGATTTGAAATGTAATTTCTTGTTAAATGTGTGGTAGCTAAGAATATGATTATAACATTTTGCAGTCATTACTCAGAGGCAGGTTCCTCCGGAATGGCAGAATGATTGAAAATGACAGACCTAGATCGACAGCAGCACGCGAGTTGGGTTTGCTACGGGAAAGACATTCTGTAGCTGATTTAAGGTACGCCATATATGTGCATAGGATGTCAAGCTTCTTATTTTACATAAGCTCCTCCCTCTTTTCTCTTTTCTGTTTTCTGGCACCTAGGGTGTTATGACATTCTTGAAAACAATATGCACACTATTTGTACAATAGGACTTGAATATAAACTTACACGGAGTTCCTTCGTTTTATATATATGTTAGATTGAGTTTTGCTTATCAAATATTTATTATTGATTGTTTATGTGATCATGGATGCTTTCTTGATGTAGGGAAGGGCTTGTTTCAAGACTGGATCATTCAGCTTCTGGTCAACTAGCCACCAATGCTTCTGATACCTCATCTAACTTCGACATAACTGAGCATTCCGAAGCAAATGATACACAGAGGGCTGTAGGCGAATCTCCTCGTCAAACACAGTCAAGATTTGAAGAAAGTAACAGCCATAGGACGACAGATGCTAGAAACAATACTGGATCTAGCACGAATCAAGATGTGGTTACCGAAGGATCTGTTGATGTTTTAGAGGACAGGTCTGGGCAACCTTCACAGGGTGTGGATGCAAGAGAAGACGAGCAATCATCTGGTGATAATGCAGAAGAGATGAGCAGAGATGTGCAAGAACCCACATTTCCACCAACGAATGAGAGTGGAGGACAGAGTCCTGCTGCTGGTGAAGCATTTTCTGAACAATCTGAGTCGAATGACATGGATTATTCTGAAAGCAATGCAGTCAATCAAGCACGATCAGAAGAGCCTGAGAATCTAACTTTTGAAAGTGAGGCCACTGATGATGATTGGTTAGGAAACCATGATGATACAGTTGAGGCCTCTGGAGAATGGCATGAAGTAGATGGTGGTGAGTTTCAAGAGGATATCCAAAGTTGGTTAGAAGAAGAAGAGCCTTCTTCTTCAAGTTGGGATGCTGCTGCAGTTGGAAGGATGGATCATCCATTTCATTTTACTGATGAAGATAATGTCTACAGTGAGGAGATCAGGGAACTTCTGAGTAGGTATGAAATTTTATTACAGGGGCCCTTATTTCTCCTTCGACTTTTTTTTTTTTTTTTTTTTTTTTTTGTTGAAAGTTATTTTAATGTTCGTTGTTTCACCTCATTTTCTTGCAGGAGAAGTGTGTCCACTCTTCTTCGAAGTGGGTTCCGTGAGAGTCTCGACCAATTGATACAGTCTTACGTGGAAAGGCAAAGTGGTAATACTCAACTTGATTGGGAACTGCAAGAAGAAACATCTCCTAGCTCACTGGAACAAGAGTTGGCTCATCCGCGTACAACTGTTGATCAGAATGCCAGTCGAGCAGACTCTATTCCAAATCCTCCACCTCTACCACCCCAATTACTTCCTATCCAAAGGCCGTGGGACAGAGAATCACGGCATTACCACTGGCCTCATCATGATGACATGCATCCACGCTTTGGAATGGTAAGTTCGCCACTTCCTTCCTTTCTTGCTCAAGCTAAGCTGCCCGTTACGAGTTTGAAGATCATACATATGAACCGAAACATGTTGGTGGATTATGGAACGCAGGAGTGGGATATCGTTAACGATTTGAGAATCGACATGGCAAGGATGCAACAGAGGATGAACAACATGCAGAGGATGCTGGAAGCCTGCATGGACATGCAACTCGAGTTGCAGCGCTCTATCAAACAGGAAGTTTCAGCTGCTCTCAATCGTTCCCCTGAACCTTCAGGGACATGCGATGACAGTTTGCCGGAGGATCCATCGAGGTGGGAGCACGTTAGGAAAGGGATATGCTGTGTCTGTAAGGAGAGCAGCATTGATTCCTTGCTGTACAGGTACGAATAACAAATTTCCGTTACCATTATCAGTTCAGGTACGAGCTGATGAGCTTTTGCCCTAATTCCCTTCCCTTTCAATCCTTTTGTTCTTCATGCAGATGTGGGCACATGTGCACATGCTCAAAGTGTGCCAACGAGTTGGTCCAGGCCAACGAAAAGTGCCCGATGTGCAGAGCGCCTGTAACTGAGGTCATCCGAGCTTACTCCATCTCTTAACCTGATAGAACGATATTTTTGTTACCTATTCAAATATAATTTTGAATCCATATGAATAACAAGAGATCGACAAGTGTTCTCGGAGGTGCTTACGCGTGTCCGAAGTCTGAGTCGTTCGATGTATAAGGTGGCGAGATTGCATCGACGTATAATTCAACAATGTCAGCTAGTGTTGACGCGTAATGCTAGCCAAATTATGCAGTACATAAATGATGAACTGGAAAGTGCCACAATCGGGTCAGAATCATCTAGAGAATCAATGCATCAACGTGTTTGCTCTTTGCTGTATGTCAACTACCATTCAATTTATTAGGTTTCTTCCCAAACGAAGTAACGCCACCAAACAACTAACACCTACCAGGCTACCACATCCATTTTTTCACATATAAATATTTTAATTATTCACATGTATAATAAATATTTACACGTGCGGGGCACACGTATCAGAGACTTGAGGTTCTGGGTAAGGAAATCCTCTCCTGTCCCTTTCTGACCAAACTCGAAGAGCTACAGATCCTCCTTAGCCTCCCACCAGCTAAACCCATCTCCACCGTCCACGCGTCCTCACTTCCCACCGTCGATCTTCTTCCCTCCACCTCCTCCACCACCCTCGTCGAACCACCGCTTCCTCCTCCTCCTCCTCCTCCGTTGCCGCCTTCCACCACCACTCCAAGAAACTGGGTGCCTCTGCACAAGGGACAGTTCACGTGCGCGTTCAGCCACGCGTCGACGCACTGCGCGTGGAACACGTGCTGGCAGACCGGTATCATCTTCACGGCCGCCTCCTCCTCGAACTCCCCGAGACAAATGGCGCACTCCGCCAAATCATACTTCCCCTCGCCGCCCTTCCTGTAGCAGTACGCCGGCAGCGACCTCACCACCTCCGGGTCGAGCCCTTTCTTCTGGCCGACCCCGCGGCGGCGGTGGTAATTGCCGACTTCCGCCGCCGCCGACCCCGCGGCGGCGGCGTCGCCGGAGAATCTGCGGATGTACAGGGAGAACAAACCCACGAAGAAGATGGCCGTCAGCAGCAGCAGAATCGTCAGCGCCATGGAGGAATCGATGGTCTGGCGGTGGTCCTCCGGGTAGTGCAGCATCTCCGGCGGCGTTTCGGGAAACGGCGGAGGTAATAAGACCGAGCCGACGACGACGGAGTCGGAGCTGCCGTCGCGGCGCGTGAAGTGGAGCTTCCGATTGTTGGAGTTCATTGTGGTTTGAAGAGAAGGGGAGATGAGAGAGCTATGGAGAGTTGGGATAATCATAGTCTCACTTATTGGTGATGTGAAATGAGCAAATGAGGAATCGATTTTGGGGGAAAGGAACAGAGAAGAGGTATTAGTCGAGTTGATGGAGGGAGAGAGGGTTTATTGAAATTGGAGGGTGTACTAGGAGGAGTGGGAAGGTTCCAAAGATTGGGTAGAGGACGTGGGGCCTGGGGGATTCATAAGATTGTTACAAGACAAACGACGAAGATGGTGATTAACTGATAAGGATGAAATTTCTCCCCCCTGGCCTGCCTTATTAGGCTGCTATTAGGTGGTGATTAGTGATGGCAAGCGCATCGAGTATCTCAATACCCGTATTTGTAAGATTTGCAACGAATCGAAAGAACAAACGAGTTTAGCGTGGTATCCTCGATCAAGTGATGACTGAGATTAATCCACGGGAGGGCGGAAAGCTTTCCAGCTGCAGTTATTATTGATGATCAATTAACTTGGCCGAAGCCTACGAGTACACGTATGTATGTATATATATATATATGGTGGCGTATTCAGTGCACCCACTTTTTTGGGTGCACTCAGTGCACCCATCTCATAATTGTCATTCTGAGCATGTGATTCATGTCAAAACGGTATCAATTGTTGCTCATGATATTATGAACAAGAAGCACATGAATTTGAAAAAAATTCATTCAAAATTTACTTTAATTTGAAGGATTTGGGATTTAGGGATTTAGGGTTAGGGATTAGTTTGAATTTTGAGATTTTGGATTGGGATTCAAAATTGAAGGTTAAGGGGTTAGGGTAATAGATTGATTTGTTATGATTCTATGTCATATCATCATATTAGATTGAGAGTACTAATTAAAGTTCAAAATTTGATGTAATATTGACACTTTTAGAGTGGGTGCACTGAGTGCACCCAAAAAAGTGAGTGCGCCGAAGTAGCCACCATATATATATATATATATATATATATATATATATATATATATATATATATCACTTTCTACAATATGTAACTAGGGTTTCACTGACTCGACAGGCAGACCGACGACAACATGGGCTTGGTGGGCTGTACGTGACTCGTGCATGGACTGGGGAACATGGGCCGAAGGTCCATCCAATCGGTATTCGTTCAGTATAGAGTATGGATAGCAGCTGTACGAGTATTGTTTGATCGAGTATCACATGTTATTACAAGAAAATGAATAATAGCGGGAAAAATACTTTACGAATGAAAATTTTGAAAAGTGATAACATGATGAATAATTGAGTCTAATTAGTTGAAAATTTTAAATCGTGTATCTATGTTCATTTATTTTAGAGGGTGAATATAAGATTGAAAAAAAAATAAAAATAGTAGAAATTCAAATAGTTTTTTTTTGGTGAACCACAAATAAAAATGTTAAAAAATTTAAGTCACACATGCACGACTTTCTTATTTTTAAAGAAAAATACATGCACGATTCAACCGTCAAAGAATAGCTAAAGCCTAAAAGTCCTCTCGTGCTTTGGACTCTCTTCTCCTCCCTGCCCAAGACAGGCCCATCTAGCCCAATTGTGGATGAAAGTGGGCCCGTTCCCACCTCCTTATTATTTTATGGCCCGGGCCATCATTTTGTAGCCCAAGTTTCCAGTCTTTCCCCCTAAACGTTTATGCGTCTTCCGATGCCTGTCGTTTGGACCAAAACGCAGGAGCAGGTACCACTTTTCCCTAGGGCTGGGAAAACGGTTGGCGGTTTGCGGTTAAACCGACAACCGCACCGAAACCGCGCGGTTATTGGTTAACCGCAAACCGCATATTTGGCCTATTTTGCGGTCGCGGTTAGAGATATGGCATGTTTTGCGGTTTGTGGTTTAACCGCAACCGAAACCGCAAATCCATATAACCGCAAAGCTAACCGCAAAACCAGACCCAACCCATAATTCACCCCAGCCCAGCCCATAATTGACCCCAGCCCAGCCAGCAGCCCAAAGCCCCAAACCGGACCCGACCCTCCTCACTTCTCCCTGCCGACGCCGTCGTTTACTCGTTTTGAGTGAATTATGATTTGAACTTTGAAGAAACAAAAATCAAAACCCTTCGTTAATTTGTTTCGTCCCTTCCCAGTTCCCACCGGAAACTGAAGTCTGAAAACCAAAACCCTTCGAAGCTTCGACCCTTCATCTTCCCGCTGCGCCTTTGCCATCCGGTCGCCGTCGTCCCTGGCCGTCCGGCGTTCCCCTGCGACGGTGTTCCTCTGCCGCTGCCGTCCCTGGCCCGCTGGCCGAGTGGCCGTCCGTCTTCAAGTAATCAAATGCGGTTAGTTCGCGGTTAATTGTCGGTTAGAGTGCTAACTGCGGTTTCATATGGTGTTTCGGTTGTTGCGGTTTTCACAACCATAAACCGCGGTTCACCGCTAACCGCGTTCTGCGGTTTTTGGTTAACCGCTAACCGTTGCGGTTGCGGTCGCGGTTGGCCAATATGAGTGTTTTGCGGTTGCAGTTAACCGCAAATTGCGGTGCAGTTAACCGCAACCGCACCGTTTCCCACCCTACTTTTCCCTCTCTCTTCTACTTCCCTTTTTTTTTTTTGGTGAAACTTCTACTTCCCTTTTGTCCATCGCCTCTTGCCGTCTTTTCTTGAGATCAGCTTCAACCTTGGGCCTCGCCGGCGATTGGAACACCACCGCGTCCCATTTCAATCGGCTGCGAAATTAAACCGGCGGTTGGTAATTTCCTTCTCTTTACCCCCAATAACTCTCTGCTTTGATTGGGGATTCAATCTGATCTGATTTACAGCCTCATCGGATGCAGCTTACCGTGAGGAAGCTCCTCGACTGGATCCGCAAGACAGGAGAGTCCCTTCGCCCTTCCCGCTTCTTTCTCCATAGAGTTCCAATTGGGTTCCAGGAAAGCCTCTGTCTTTACAGTAGCGTTAAGCCCAAGTGAGTAGTGAACTTCAATTACTGCTCTAACAGCTCAGTAGATCCGTATACTGTTCACTTCAGTGATGCTTTCCTAAATCTGCATTAGTGGGTGTGTGAATTTGATATTGATTGGAGATTTTGTAGATTATAAGTTACAATGAAGATCGGGTAGCTTGAAAGGTTTAATGTTACCTGTGCTAATGAATGCTAGCGGCTTTCTTGTTTTTGTTATTTCAGAAGTTCCTTTTCCGTCTTGATCTGTAACATGATATTATGCTTCAGGTACTTGATGGCGGGTTACAATCCACCGAGGTGGTGCTAGCCCTGTCATGATCTTGCAACAAGAAACCAACAAGAAATCAACCAGGATCTTACTATTTTGAATATGATTCCCAAGAGCAATGCGCCTACTATGTTTGCAATCAGAAGGACTCAACTTCCGTGTTCCGTTGTCTCTATCTTCCTCGCCTTCGTAACTGTTTCCCTTTTCTCTATTTTGTTCCACTTTTACTCAACCCCATCCCAGTCCCAGCTGTTTCTAGAATCAAAAACCCATATTAACACTGCCCAAACATCCCTCAACGTCTATGTAGTAAACCTGCCTAGATCTCTCAACTATGGACTCTTGGACAAATATTGGGCTTCCTCTGTACCTGATGCACGCATTAGCTCTGATCCGGATCACCCCAAGGACCAAACAAAGACCGTGTCTTTCCACAAAGGCACCAAATTTCCTCCATATCCGGAGAATCCAGTAATCAAACAGTACAGTGCTGAGTACTGGCTCTTGGGGGACTTGATGACACCAGAAGCTTCAAGGACAAACTCATTTGTCAAAAGGGTGTTTGACGAGAGCAAGGCTGATGTCTTCTTTGTGCCCTTCTTTGCCACATTGAGTGCAGAAATGGAGCTTGCAAGGGGGAAGGGCACGTTTAAGAAGAAGGAAGGCAATGAGGATTACCAAAGGCAGAAGGAGACACTTGATTTTGTTATGAACTCAGAGGCATGGAAGCGATCTGGGGGTAGAGATCATGTTTTCATTATTACAGGTAATGTTGTTCGTATTCTTGATAAACTCAACCTTTTGTGGTTTGGGTTATTTAATATGGAATCAGGTGTTTAGTTAGCTTATAGTTTCTGTTCATCATGTATATGCTAAACCTACATACAAAAGTTCATTTTGTGTATAGGGTATTGCAGACCCAGTAGCTATGTGGCATGTGAAAGCCGAGATAGCCCCCGCTGTTCTCCTGGTTGTTGATTTTGGTGGCTGGTACAGGCTTGACAGGAAATCATCAAATGGCAGCTTGACAGAACGGGTTCAGCATACTCAAGTTTCTCTTATCAAAGATGTGATAGTTCCTTACACACATCTACTTCCTCCATTGCCCTTATCCGAAAATACAAAGCGTCACACTCTCCTATATTTCAAAGGAGCCAAGCATCGGCAAAGGGTGAGTTAGTACTTTATTATTCTCATTCACAGCATCAGCAAGGTGTTTGTTAAATCTCGTTGTTTGATCACCTGGCACTCTACTGCATTTTCATTTGAGAACTTATTATAGTGATTACCTAGTGGTCATTAGTCATATTGAGTGAAGATCAAAATACTTTTTCTGACCCAAATTAAACCTTATCATTTGCAGTTCCTCTCATTCTTCTGTGTTATCAATTCGTCTTTCCATCTTAAGAAAAAATGATGTATCATCTGATGTTTGAAGAATAGTACTGTAGGAGTGCTTAGATTCATATATATCATATAGCGCCAGATAGATACCTCTGGCGTTTTTATCGTACATCTAATCAGCCATTGAATGCTACCTATCGACAGGGAGGCATAATTCGAGAAAAATTGTGGGAGTTGCTGGTTAACGAGCCTGGGGTGATTATGGAAGAAGGCTTTCCTAATGCAACCGGCAGGGAGCAATCAATCAGAGGGATGAGAACATCAGAGTTCTGTCTTCACCCAGCTGGAGACACCCCAACTTCTTGCCGGCTTTTCGATGCCATCCAAAGCCTATGCATACCGGTCATAGTCAGTGACAGCATCGAGCTTCCGTTTGAAGGGATCGTGGATTACTCCGGTTTCTCCATCTTTGTAGCAACCAGCGACGCCTTGACGCCAAACTGGCTCCTGCAGCACCTGCAAAGCATCTCCGAGAGACAGAAGGCCAGATTTCGTCAGAAGATGTCTATGGTTCAGCCGATGTTTTGGTTCGACAATGGCCATCCTGGTGGCATCGGACCTGTTCACCCGGATGGTGCGGTGAACCACATATGGAGGAAGGTGCACCAAAAGTTGCCCATGATTAAGGAAGCCAGTGTTAGGGAGAAGAGGAGACCGCCCGGTGTCTCTGTTCCTTTGCGTTGTCAATGTACTTAGATTGAATTGCCTTGCCTTCACAAGCTAGGTACTACTGAATACTGATACTTTTGTAATGTGCGTTACTTCCTGGATTTTGATGAAATGGTCTAGCTTGCGACTTGCCGGCCATGAGGTTTTGTATTCTTCCATTCGCTATTGCAACAAGTATAGATGTTGTTTACATGATCGATGTGGAACAAACAATGGTTCTATAACCTTTTTTCACATCCCATATACGTCACCGTTTCCGTAGGCAGAACCATCAGATAGAACCATATCCCTTTCAACAAGCACTGCAAAAAGCTGTATTATTAAAACGAGCAAAGCGTCCAGTTGCCGGCAACAAACAGAGCAAACGCAGAAGGCAAAAGACGAACCTCCGCCGCCGCCGCCGCCGCCGCAGCTCACCGACTGCGTTTTCCCTCGCGCAAAAGCCTATCGCTGCATTCTGTTGTTTGGGTAATGTAGTCGTAAAGATAAAGTTGTGTACTTGCTTCTTATTCTGCCGTAGCCAGGGGGCCATATTCGCTGCTCAGTCGCGTGGCTGCTTTTGCTCCCTCTTTCGACCTTATACTGAAGTTGAGTTTTTGGCAATCTACTGCCCATTAAAATCTGAATCGAGTCGCGTATTCTTCTCTGTTTTCGTTACAGCAGCAGCTAACTATGGCCAAGTTGCGGGCTCTTGTCCTTCTTCTTCTCGCTGTTTTAGCTTCTTCCACAGCCGCCAGGTTGATTTCCAGGACGAACAAAGATGGATCGGAAGCCTGGGGATACGAAAATGTCCGACCCAGTAAGCCCATTTTTTCAATTTGTCTATTCCCCATTCATATTGCTTCCATTTTCTCTGCAACCAAACAGAGCAATTGGGAGATTGAAAAATTGAGATCCCCTCCTCTAAAGTTGTTGTCTTTGCTGTAAATCAGAAGCTCATATGTTCTGGTGGCTGTACAAGAGTCCGTACAGAGTTGAAGATCCATCAAAGCCATGGCCAACCATTCTATGGCTCCAAGGAGGACCCGTGAGTGCAAATTCTTACTCTGTTTCCTCATTTTCCAGATCCACCCATTTTCCCAAAAATGTGTTTGATTGAAATGATTTTCAGGGAGCTTCAGGAGTAGCGATTGGGAATTTCCAGGAAGTCGGCCCGCTGGACACCAATCTCAAGCCCAGGAACTCAACCTGGCTCGGCGTCGCCGATCTGCTCTTCGTGGTAACTAATCAGTTCATTTCCACTACGAAACAAAATTGAATCCAAAGGACAAATGCAAATTGTGAATCTTTCGTTTGATAGGATTCGCCGGTGGGGACGGGTTACAGTTTCGTGGAAGAAAATGAGGCGCTGGTGAAGACCGACGTCGAAGCAGCCTCCGATTTGACGGTGCTGTTACAGAACTTGTATAACAGAGACGAGAAGCTACAGCAGAGTCCTCTGTACATCGTGGCGGAATCCTACGGCGGCAAATTCGCCGTCACGTTGGGATTGTCTGCGCTGAAAGCCATTGATTCCGGGAAGCTGAAGGCCAAGCTCGGTGGAATAGCTCTGGGAGACAGCTGGATTTCCCCTGAAGATTTCGTGCTCTCTTGGGGTCCCCTGTTGGGCTCTGTTTCTCGACTCGACACCAATGGCGTCAAATTAGTCAACAAGTAAAGCTATAGCTTGCTTCCACTCAAGATCAAGTTAAGATCTTTGAACTGTGTACCATTAACCCAGGAATTAACAATGGAAACCCAGATTGGCGGAGGGGATAAAGCAGCAGATTAGCGAGGGGAAGTTCTTGGAAGCAACAGATTCATGGGGTCGTCTAGAAGAGGTGGTTTCTGATTACTCCAACAATGTGGTAAGGTTTTTACTATAACCATTTAGCCTTTTACTCATTTCAGTCTTCATCTTCAATGGTAATTACTCAACTAGTTTGTGGTAACAATCAGGATTTCTACAATTTCATGCTGGATTCCGATATGGATCCGGTGTCGATGGTGACAACAACGACGACTGCAGCCACGACGACGGCGGGGCTTCTGCTGGGGAGGACGAGGAGGAGCTATGCCAGATATCTGAGCTCGCTGGGGGAAGATGGAGTCGACATTGAAACCTTAATGAATGGTGTCATCAAGAAGAAGCTTGGGATCATCCCTGAAAAGCTTCAGTAAGTCATTACTAGCTTACTTATGATTGTCAAAAAAAGTCATTACTAGCTTACTTATGAATTAAATTCTTAATAATTATGTGCTGAATTGGGAAATGAATTTGCAGATGGGGAGAGCAGTCGGGGTCTGTTTTCAATAGCATGGCTGCTGATTTTATGAACCCTAGGATTAACGAGGTTTTGTGCTAATTATATATCATTTCTTATTTACTACTATGTAAATTATCTTCATGTTGATTGATTCCGTTTTCATTTCTCTAAATTGATAGGTGGATCAACTTTTGGCCAAAGGTGTCAATGTGACTATATATAATGGCCAGGTAAGGTTACACTGGTTTTGGACATTTTCACTATGATTTCTTCCCCATCCATAGAATGTCTATTTACAACGCGGTTACGGTGCTAACACTCAGGATGTGCTAATCTTGAGATGTTCGGTTTAAAATTCGGTGGATAAGGTTTCCCCTGTCCTTGATTATGATAGTACTCGGGTTACGAATTTGTTTCGTGGTTGTAGCTGGACGTAATCTGTGCAACAAAAGGGACAGAGGCATGGGTTCAGAAGCTCAAGTGAGTAGTGGTTTCATCATCCTTGATTGGGTTTTTCAATTATTGGTAAACTGTGTATTGTTTTTATGACGATGGGGTTGCAGGTGGAAAGGGCTTTCTAACTTCACAGCAACGAGGAGAACTGCTCTGTACTGCGGCAAAGGTGGAACGAAAGGGCTCTTCAAATCCTACAAGAACCTTCACTTCTATTGGATCCTTGGAGCCGGCCATTTCGTAAGTTCTGTTTATCCTTCCATTGTTATGTTTTGAGAACAGAGGGAGACAAAAGAAGATGTTTCCATGGTTTGCTTAATTGTGTCCTTCCAATGTTGGTTGGAGTTCTGCAGATTCCAGTGGACCAACCCTGTGTTGCGCTGAACATGGCTCGTGAGATTATGCAGTCGCCGGCCTCTCCTGTGCTCGGAGATGGAGTCCCAATCCGCACTCTGTAGGGGAAGTGATGGGATCTTGCAAAAGGGGAGACAAATTGTAGATAAGAAGATGAGAACTTCCAAGAGGGGGAAGATGAAGGAGCTGATAACAGCACTCAGGATTAATGCAGAGGGTTTGATTATTTTGAAACATAATGCAATGGAGGTGCATGCCCTTCAATTCTTGAATAGAATAGCCACTCATCAGATTGCTTCTATGGATGAATCATTCGTTAAGGATTCAAATTTCGATACAAAACATGCTCTTTTTGCTCTTAGTTAATACAAAGGCAAGCGGGTTTTTCGTACCCACTAATTCTGTCTCACATCACAAGTGCACAGTTGTTCGATCGCAAATCAGAGCAGCCGTGAAGATGTAGTCACAATCGATTGACCTAGCTAGTTCAATGAGATGACCGAATTCGATACTTTCGTGCTTATATCCTGGCCAGAAAAGCTGAAGTTTGGGGAATCATTGACGGCTGTGGCGGATTGTCAAACATCTTTCCCCCAGCCTGCAGATGGACTAATAACTAGCACAAAATGAAGTGCTACTAAAACGATGAACAACTCTTGAATTAGCAGTGCTCTGCACTCAGTAGGTGTACTATGCCACCGTCGTATATATTGAACACATTTATTTGTTATATATTCTTTCTTTGGGAATGAATGGACCATCTCATATATGGAGTGGATGCTAGAAATAATAATACAACCGATGATCTCTCACCTCATAAACTGGGAATCAATCCCCAGCTATATTACAAGATATACAAACCCTACCAGCATGGTGTAAAAAAAAGGGCAATGCAGAATCCGGGAGACATTATACACCTCACTCAAGAAACTAGCAAAAACTGCAAGAAAAGTAAAGAGGGTAAGGATATGAGAACAATACTGGCAGTCGAATTCAACGAGCCTGGAGGAAGGCATGAAACATGAAAACATACAATTCAAGAAGAACAAGGGCTGTACCGAAGTTGAGCGAGCACTCAGCCTGATTCGATCTTTTCTACTGTTTCCAGCCTGGTTTTCCTCTTCCAGCCTTTCATTGCCGCCACAAGGTTCACCAGTCCAACTACCTGAGTCTTGGTGTACTCCTGCATTTCCAGTGTTCATGGTGCGAGATAGAAAATTAATCACTTGGAGTGTTTTCTTTGACTCATTCAGCATTGAATTTCAGGGGATTGTTCCCAATCAGGCATTCGGAAATGATTTCTTACCGGATGAGCACGAGCCCAATGGACGTATTCGGTTTCTGGAAGGTAGTAAGCCTGCACAAAGTTATGGACATACAATCATAGTGATTTAAGCCCGATTCAGGAAGCCCACCGGTTTTCTGAAATTTACACACTGAATTTTAGTATATGTGTAGGCTCACCTTTATGAAAGTTTCTACAGCCTGCAACTTTGGTTTCACATTGCCTTGTACAAAATGGTGTAGACCATTAATCAAAACCTGGGAGGACAAGGGCAGGGCACCAAGTAAATTAGTTCTCGACTTTGAACAAGATGCTAAAATTTGGAAGCAGTTGAGAAAACAAACCTGAAGATCCAATGACATGAGAGCGCGTCCTTCATCGGTACATTTCTTGACCCTAGACAGCCCTTCGATGAGAGTTTCAGCTACGATTTCAACACCGTATTCCAACAGCAGGTCTTGAACCTGATAAAATATAAGGGAAAACGTTTGATTCATCTTGATTCTTGCCACATGAGCAAACACAAACTAAAAACTCCCTCGAGACAGATACTGAAACAGCAGTAGACACTTGGAGGTTAGATCATCTAGTAAGAATTTCAGAAAATTGTCTAACAATGTGTGGCCTCAGCCTTTACCTCTTTGTGAATTCCTCCATGAGCAAGCCGTGTTTTATAGTGCTTAAATTCTCCCAGCAACAGATCAACGTACCTATCAGGGATATTGCGAGTTTGGAATATCAGAACATCTGAATAGGTAAGCTACACTATCATGAAATGTAGTATAAAGATCAATTTTACTCATGCACGGGTATGAGACAAACCCATTGTGCTCAAGACCCAGCTCTTTGACTTCCCACTTCGCATTAGCAATCCGATCGACATACCTGCATCAGAAAGAGTTTACTATGAAAATAGCGACACAAAACGTTCGCACAGATATTCCTCACTTCAATAACCTGACCTCAAAATGTTTCCAATCAAAAAGAAAAATGGAAAAAGAAAGGCACGGGAAGGATGAAGGAGTTTAAGCTGCCCACACACAAAAAAGGATTTGTTATAGTTAAGTAGCGCTCTCGGGAAACATGGCAAGTTCCAGGTGAACCATTTTCGACATGAGGAGCTAGAGCCAAACCATTTCCACCACCATACCAATTGAAATGAAATCCCCTTTTTAGTGCCAGCCTATGAGACATTGAGACCTAGTTGCTCGTATCGGCTATTACCTCTTCCACTACAAATTCTAGAAGAAATTCCCAGGACGCAGTCTACTTCACTGTGCTCTAATAGGAAATCACTATCTGACCAAGTTCCATTATTCAGAAGGATCAGAAGAGACTGCTTGACCAACATCTGCTCTAGCCTCTAAGATGAATTTAAAGGCCCTGATTATGATTTTTAAGACACGTTAGAACTAATCTCAAGCACAAGAAGATATTGTGAGCAGAAGAGGTAAAAGGAGTTGTACCAAGCTGCCATCCACTTTTATAAATTGTTCAACAGGCAACCATAGCCAGTAACCTCTGAAGCCCATTCGAGTCCAAACCCCTACTCTCTACCTGTTCTCAAGATATTGAGGTCCCTATTTGTTTACAACAGCTGCTACACCGTCAAATACAAATCTCTGTATCTGTTCCCCAAAATCAAAGCAGCAGCGTTTTGAGCTAGATATATTCTCAATCCTAAGCAATTCAACGGAATGAATGTAGCATAATGAACCTTCGACTGATTCTCTATGCATCTCTTATTAATGAACGAAACGACATTTCTCCTTTAATTGCTCCATTGTTTTGGTTACGCAAAATACCAGTAAGAGTGAAGTCAGAGATAACAGTCATCTGATAAAGATGAGTTACTCTAGAAAGTGGCACGACAGGGTTTGACTCACAGATCTGAATATAATTGTAAACTGAACGAACTTTTTTTGAGAACATAATAACAAAATAAGATCTAGCCTTACCCATCTATGTGGAGCAGCAGTCTTGCAGTTGTCCTATGTATGTGCTCTGTAAGAGCTGGTACAGAATCCACCTGATGATCAACAACTTACCATCAAGACCAGTAGATACGGAACTATTCTCTATATCTTATTATTTTCTTTTAAAGAAAAAAATCCTTATTATTCAATATATCTGAGATGTGGAGGATATCCGGTACCACTTAACATAAAGGATAAGCAGACAAGTAAAACAGGAATTCTAGTCACTGAAAATATATAGACGAGTAAAAGTCACTTGAAGGACAGACTGCATAGCTGAATTTAAAGGAAAACAAAGAGAGAGACCAGGGAACATCTCATATATGCATGGAGACAAATTCACTCAAGATACCTTAAGTGCATCAATATATGCTTAGCTAGCATATATAGCTTTCCTTTCTGTTTTAGGAATAGTATTAGAGGGGCTTTTTCAGAGCACTCTCCAATTTAGGTTCAGCATGCTGTAAGCACCTTTATGGTACGATAACTTGTTCAACAATAGTTGGTCAGAAATTAGGCCTAGGTTTCCCTTGATTCTATAAATTTCTAGCAACCATTTACAAACTATAAACCCTCTACAGCGAACTTAATTGTATAACAAGGACCACTAGGATCCTGACATTTACGATACACAAAATGCATCAAGGGGTCATAGCATAGGCACGTACCAGATTTGCATAGAAATCCTCGACTAAAGTTGGATTCTTTTGAAGAAGCATGGATTGAAGATGACCTTTAGATCTATGCAATATTCGAGTAACAACTGACGCTGTATCAGCACCAGTACATCTTTCCTGCAACCAGGGCATATAATCCATTAGCCTACCGCAGAACAGTGAACTATAAGATGCTCAAATTCATAGCACCCTAAAAATTTGCAACACGTAACAAACTCTCATTTAGGTCATCCTAAATCATGCAGGAGCTGAGGAGAGTATCCACATCATCATTTGTAGAATATAGATTATACAGACTAGCACAAGCTGTCTCCAAACAAGGCACTACACACAAAAAAAAAAAAAAAACCAACACGGAAATGCAAACGAAGTACCATATGATTACCTTGAGACTAAAAGAAGCAGGAGAGTGATTTGGAGGACTGCTAGGTACAATATCTGAATGGATATATGTAACAGAAGTAGGCAATGAAGATGCTGACTGTATTGACTGAGGCTTTATCCACTGGTCACAATCTTGGGATATCTTCAACAAGGCAGTCTTCAGCCGATCTGAGTAATAGGAGTGCATAAAACATTAGTTCTTATCAGCTCCAATAAGAGATAATTCCAACTTCCTCACAAAATAAAGCACACATAATTGCTAGAAGAAAGAAGGCATACATGAAATATCAAGTTAATGAACTCATTGCATCATCATTGATCTGAACAGGAAGGGAGGTGATGAACTAATTCCATCATGAACAAGTGAGAGCGAAGATCATGAAAACACTTACGGTTGGAAGTGTCAAGCGCATATTTTCCAGTTGAGGCAGAGTTTTTCCCACCAAATATGTCAAAAACGAAGTAGTAAAAAACCTCAAACAGCTGACAAATTCCCTGCAACAATACATTGAAGCAGAAAAGAAAACAATTCAGAGAGAAAAAAACACTTGTACAAGGAAATTCAGGCAACAAGAAGGACAAGAACTCAATAATTGTACTTGGACAAGAAATATACCTTAAAAAATTCAACATTAACTATTTCTAGTTTCTGCATGAGCCTTGCATATTTATCCATTGACCTGTAAGCATATGCAGACGCAACAGTATTTAACGCAGTCCTCTGCGATATAAATTCGAACTTCTAGCCAGAAAATCTGAAAAACCCAACTCACCTTAACAGGCAAAGGGATGAACCAGTCTGTGCTGTTACATCATCATTTTTCCAATGTAATGAGGTGTTTCTAGGAAGACCTGGTTTTCGACTAGGTAGCTGACTATCTTCATCGATAAAGTCTGCAAGTAGATCTTCATTTTCATCTTCAGAAACAGGTGTTCCATTTAGATGATTATTAACATGCCCTCCAAATTCCCCGGTGGCACTACTGACATGGGGAGAATCCTGACCGTCTCTGGCAATGTGCATTACTTTTAATGCAAATGGGTTCCCACCTTTAAGCCAACTAGTAAACCCACTCTTCCTCGAATTGGCATCAACAGAGTTCATTGATTTAGCAGAATGGTGCAACCGAGAACCAGCAGACCTACTCTCAGACTGACTGATGACTGGTGCGCCATCGCCAACTAACCCGGCAAAACTAACTACTTGTGCTGTTTCAGGAGGCATTTTCTGCCAAGTTTCCTTCTCTAAAACCATTTTCAGTGCCTATCAATATCACAAAGTTAGATGATGTCATATTGCCATTGGAGTTCAAGGATGTTCAATGCACTTGTTATAAGATTAGAATTTAGAAATATGACTGCATGAACACTAAAACAACAATTATACATGGTGAACCTGTGGCAACATATTGAAGGCTAGCTTACATCCTAATCAACAACCCTTTCTATTCTTATCAACATGATCATTACCTTTTATGAGGTAAAAATGCAATCAAACAAATTTTTTTTTTTAACCAAGAACAATAAACTGAACTAACAAACAAATAAACTACTAAGATTCAAAACGAGTATTGTTTATCTTACATGAATATTCTGTCGGTGGAAGGCAGTAAAATAGTTTTCACAGACACCCTTCAACTTCTGTCTGAACTCAACTGCTTCAGCTCCACTAAATGCTTCCCCCGCCAAGATGAACATATTTAGGTCTTCGTAATTTTTTAAAAACTGGTGAATGCTCATTGAACCAACTGCACCAGAGGAAAGCAACACCAATACTCGACTCGTTGTGAGCTGCCAAAGATTCTTCCTTCCTCTTTGAAGGGTTTGTGAAACATATGCCGTAGCATCTTTCCGCAGCTGGTACCAAGGGGATCCACTGCTTGATGCTTCACTACTATCATTCCTGGCCTCATGAAAAATCTTAGAATCAGAAGCTACAGAATCTTTAGATCCTGCTGCACAAGTCAAAGACCCAGAAGTAGACTCCTCAGATGATGATGAATCAGGGAGTCTCTTTACAGAATTAGAAGACCCATTATTTACTTGGGGATCATGTGTTCTTTGGACCTCTCTGCCATGCCAGGACTGATCACATTCCTGGTCTTTCATCAGCGATGTTTGGTATCCTAGATTCTGCAATCTCAGAGCGGAGTAATGATCATCCAAACTGTTCAATCTACAGACTCCACGTAAAGTCAAAGACCTCTATACAATTGGAATCGTAAACTTGAATTACAGAACCACTAGAATTTATGGACAATATGTAGTTGCAATTGATCTGTGAAATGTAAGCAAAACACATCCTAAAATAAGCATTCACGTTCCATGTCTTGGAATATCACAAGCTATATACACAACATCAATTCTTTAAGTCATGTAAAAGGTCATTTCTATCTAGTAAGCCATCACTCCAAAAAAAAAAAAAATCTAGTAAGCCATAAAATAATATCAAAGTAGTTGATATACCGAACACAGGGAGGAGAAGAAAATCAAATATAATAAAATAAACGATGTCTTAAACTGATTGGTCAGGGTTAATATTGATTTTCATATCAAAGGAGATAACTTGTTAAGATATATGATCATCAATCCCAGTAGAATCGTGTGCTGATACTACCATCAATCTAATTAGTTTATTGATTCAAGGGATTGCAGGGGAAACTAAGCAGCAGAAAAGCATAGGAAATAAAGGGAGTAAGGGACAAGAAGAAATGATTTTGACCAACCTTGTTGTCCATCTGAAAGCTCATGATTTCATGATACGAGCACATCAGCCTAAATAAGGAAGCAAGTGTTCTCAATAGACACTGTCTAAACTTGGACTCCGGTATCTGAAGGCATAGATCACTGTAGGTAAGTCTGGAAAAAAGTAGAAAAATTGGAAAAGGTTACAGAACATAGAAAGCATAATTATACATCTTGAGTAGGCATGCTGCTAAAGTCAAAAGCAATTACCTACTATTCTGCTTTTGAACTGGCTGATCCTGCAAAACAAGTGCATATATCAGATGGCAAAAACGTTCAATAATTGGTGACAAAAACAAATGAGAATGCGACTTATAGATGCATCAAATATCAGGGGCCGACAAAAGGACACTGGAAACAAGCATTCAAGATACTTTGACTGTGTTTGCGTGCTCTAAAATTTTAGTAGCTCAAATTTAAATGGAAAAAGCAACTCAAAGTAATGCAGGTGCTCTAAAAATTTAGGAAGAAAAAGAAACCATGTATGATGAACCCACAAAATTATTATTGTTCCGAATGTCATCCCATTAACGGAAAATTGTTTCCTGAAGCGAAAAATTATGCTCAAAGTTTGCTAGTTATAGCCATTGGCATAAAATACATAGTATCACTTGTTCTTTATCACTAATAGAATATCACATAACATCATCTCTACTTTATATGTATACTCTGTTAGAAACACGTTTTCTAAGGAAAACGAGTTTCTATATTATCATTATTATTAGGTTTTATTAAATATGGTTAGTAGTCTTTTAGTAGAATTAGGTTTAGTATTAGGTTTTCTTAACTTTCGTTATAAATATGTACTTTGCGTTTTATTCAGAATCAAGCAAGAACAATTATTCAGAAAAGTATCTTAAACCCTAATCTCTCTCAAATTCGTCACCTATCCCTAGGCCGTCGGCCATTCTTCTCCTCGATCCCCAATTTCCTCTTCTAAATCCCTAATCCCCAATTCTGTTCTTCCCCAATCCTATCTCAATCCCTAAATATCTATCAATTCCCAATCTCATCAATCCGACCGTTAGAACCCTAGAATTAGGTTTCTAACATACTCTTACCAACCATTTATATTTCATCCAAGCGGACACACATTTATTTTGAAGCCCATGATCAGCTCACTAATATCTTACTCCCATCCATCTATTAAAACCCTTTTTGAAGAACTGAAAGTGTGCGTACCTCTAGCACAATATTCTTCAATACCATATGGGTTTCTGAGAGAACTTCTTGCATGAAGAAACTTTGAACTTTCTCAGCAAGACCAGAGACATCTCCAATTAATGCATATGCATCAACTACCTGGATCATCACAGGAACAATTAATTTATTAGTCAATATTGTTCGTAGTCTGCTCCAGCCATAGCCTGAAGAAGAATGAAGAATTGGGATAGGATACTATCATTGGTGTACATGATGCCGAAAACCAAAGAAGTGAGATGAAGGATAAAGCACGCTTAGAGGAGGAGTTCGATATACTTCTAGTTTTTATCTAAGTCGTGGTGTTTGGTTGAACATTTGCTGAAAACAGAAGGAGAAGATCATACATAAATCCTAACAAAAAAGACTTTTGTCTAGCAAACAGTATATTCTCAACATCTTTTTAACGGTCACTGGTTAATTACAATATGGTACTTGCCTTCTCTGGATATCAAATCTTGTTTTAAAAACTACACACACTCCATATAGACTATCCTGTAACTGAACCATGCTCGACTCAACATTTATTGCCATGTCTGGGAGTAAAAAAGTTTAAAACGAGAAGTGAAAGTAGACATGAAGCATATGATAACAAATCAGATACAATAAAATGTGAAGACAATTAAAAGTCATATTTCCAGAAGTCGATAGTTAACAAATGTTGTTGAAGTAGAGAAATGTACTGACAATTATATAGCTCTCCTCCTTGAAGTCCTGGCACACTCCTAACAAAAGTGCATCTAGCTTCTGAAGGGTTCTACCCAACCAAACCTGAGGCAAGAGAAAAAAGAGACATACCGTAAGTCCTTAGAAAGCAGAGAGAAACCAGCAATGTTAGCAAGCAACACCTATGCTTTCAACATTCTTGTAAGAAAAATCTACACTTTCAATATCATAAACTAGAAAACCATATTAACTCATTTGCATGGGCTTTAGAATTTGGTGCTAATTATGAAAGCAAACATTATCTAGTTAATACCAACCTCAACTGCTCGGCTCATCTCTTGTGCGGCTGAAAGTTCGGATAAACTATCTAAAAGCTGCAAATACTCAGATAGGACTTGGAATGCCTGCAAAAAAAGAATGATACTTGATCAAGCATCTTTGAGCTGAAACAGAAAGTCAAAGGCCAACTTACAAATCCTTATTAAAAAACCCCCCAAGTTACAAATCAAGAAAATAACAAAATTTTGGGAAGCCAACATAGCAGAAGGTATCAGCAGTCAAGATCCAGTTCAAACCTTGCAGTAATTTCCTTCTTCAACAAGGGATTCAAGTGCTGATTGCATGTCCACAGCATGACGAAGTTCATTTAATATTGGAAGCATGTCCTACAATGAGGGAAATCACAATCGGCTATTCAATTGAGACCAAAGATTCTTTGAATAATCGCCTTTCCAATACATTGAGAAAAATGCTGCTATGGAAACACACCAAAAGAGCTTGTTTCTTCTTGGAATTTGTATTTACGACAAGATCCCTTGAAACCTCGGTCATGGACGATGTGAGATTCCTTCTCCCATTCTGCAAACCATAGCCACAAATGAAAAACAAATCATAGATTGTAGCAGAAACATCATGGTTTTGAAGATTCCGATAACAGCATCACTGAAACAAACTGTTAATTCTTTTTAATTTTAATGAAAATAAGAACTCTGGCATACTTCGATGCAACACACAATGAATTCTTACCATGCAGATAATATTTGCAATCTTTATGTCTTTCTCTAACTCTCGGACCAAATTCATTCCCTTCACTGCAGAGAACAAAGTATGAAAACTTTCAGTAGCAAGAATATTATGGAGCCAAATGAACATATTATATAATCATTTAATCGCCACCTTGATGGCTGAGAGTGTATCAGAATATTTGCAGAACAGATGTCAATAGAGCTTACCCATTACTTCATGATGTTCCATGACATGATGGGATAAATGCTCAGCTACCCTATCCAGTTGTGCCAATCTAAGAGCAGCCTGCAGGGAGCAGAATCAACAAGAAATTGAGTTTTGATATTACTACCACCAGTAAGAAGGCATACGTATCTAGCAATGTATAGGCCAATCTATTATAGGTTTTCAATTCTCACGGTGGATTGGATAGAATGGCTCAAGCAAAAATGACTTTGGGCAAATCGTTCATGAACGTCATCCTAATAAAATTTAGGAATGAGTCACTTATTAGGAAATGAAAAGAAACATTTTGTCTTGTAGGGGATCTTGCCTTGTGGTTTGGACCTGGGTGGTTGACATTCAATTACTGCAAGATAATCGGTCAAATTGCCGTAGCTAAAGCTACCAACACTGCTGCTAATAATTACTGCATCCTATTTATATCCCTCTTATCAAAACAACATGACAAAATAAACACCTGAACATTTGTCCACCTGATTATTACTGCACCCTAGAGATACTCGTATCGGCCAAACACCGCACCAGGTTGGCACCAGCATCATGTAGTAGCAACAGAACTGCTAATGATGTGTGTACAGTATTATTGACTAGGGGCCACGTGTTAGAATAAGTAGGAAAATTAATGCAGGTGTCTTTAGCTAGCGGGGCATATTCATCATAGACATACAAAGAGAACGTATTTCTGTTTATAAATAAGATTACATGAGTCCCTGCCCTCTTATTTAAAAATTACTATGAAATAAAATGCCCTGATAGCTACCCTAAAGGAAAAATAGCAAGAACCTTTAACCAGTTGAAATTATGTAAGAAGTACCTGTTTTTCAAAAAATGTCACTTCAATTTCCTCAGAAGGAATCATCTTCAGTGTATGTCGAATTGGATCGAAGCTCTGCAAGTAAGAAGTAATATCCATCAGAAATCATTTATATAAAAATGAAGACATATCAGAGAAATCATTTCTATAGAAAATAAGACATATCAGGGAAATATGTTACTAACATTATACATATAAGAGAATCAACTATCAAGTATTGGACGGTTTCATGGACCACGCATCACGAATGCCTCAAAACCATGTTCAAACACAAAGATTATATTGGTTTTCCATGATTTCTTAGTAACTAAATTCAACCGTAATGAATGAAAAAATAACCTCCTCGTAGAAATCTTCTTCTAGCTCCTCCACCACTTGATCTTGTGGTCTGCTTCCATATATAAAGCACAAGTCTTCGGAACTTGAAGGAAGAGTATACCGCTGATGAGGAGGCAACCCTGAAATTGCACGAGCAACAGCTGCCGCTGCTGCAGCCCTAGCAGGAACCTGTACAAGGTCATAAATCATAAATTGCGAATACTCCAGTTCAAGAATCTTCAGAATTTGCAATAAAGAAAAAAGTAATCTACAAAATCATGTCTTCTTGACCCAAAGAAGAGCTAGTAATCAAAAGATCATTTCCAGTATCTTCCTTCAGATAAGTAGAGAAAAAGAGAGGAGCTGGGATAGACAGTAAAGTCCTCTTGCTGTCCTGCATACATCCTATAGCAACAACAATTTGATCCAGCAAACTGAAAATCAAACTACAAAAAAATCTGTCGACACCTAACATTAACTCAGAATAACTACAACTCTTTCTCCTCTCTTTCCCACTCTCTCGCGTAGTGAAGGGGATTTGCTGAAATGGTTCATGAAAGAAATGATCCAGGAATGTAAACACGACAGTTCTCATTTAACCCTAATCAAACTTCATGAAACAGGGCAGGGGTTTTGCAAGTCTCAACGTGAAACATGTCAACGCGCTGCTTGATCAAATTTCCAGTAAGCACATAGTCAGAAATTGGGTATTCTGATTATCATGGCGAGAGGCTAACAGTTGGGAGTGCAATGAGATCACAGTATTCCTCACTTTTGAGTCTATTCTGATGTTCAAGAAAGAAAAGAACTTTCTACTGTCAGTTCGGCTATCAGGTGATACCATGAGGAGGCAAGAAAAGGAACAGCATTCCAGCTAAGGCAACATCTACTGAATAAACATTGGGATGGAACAAGTAATACAATGCCATTTTATAACGTAAAGGACAATACAATGCCTACTCTGAAGGGATTACAAGTGTTCACCAGTATGACTATATGATTCCCTCTCGGCATTCATTAACTAACTATATCTGCATTTACTTCAATTTATACCAGAAGTACGAAAATGGGTAACTGAAATCCTCATTGAAACTCCACTGTCGTTCTTCAATGGAACTGGAAGTCACACATACACATAATTGAGCTGCATTTTTGGCGGGAGGGAGAATTTACCTCAGGTTTGTCGGAGACGGTAGGCAGCAAACCAAGCGATCTAGCAGACCGTACGGAACTCAGTAGCTTCTCCCCGACCTTTGATAAATCCATTCCACCTCCTTGGGACAAGAGAAAAGGGAGTAAGAAGAAAACCCTAGAGCTCCCGAATCCAATACCAGCGCCGCCGAGCTCGCTTAATTCTCCATTGAAAAGAAAGGGATTCCCAAGCACACTGCCGAATGGGAACGGATTCGGCTGCATTTCAACTCGAAACTGCGAGATCAAGCTCCTCCTTCATGAGAAACTCCATCGGGACAGAAATGAAACGGGTTCACTTGCAGGTTTTTTCTTCTTTTCTGAATCGGAATTTGAGATCCGATCACAGCTTCATCATCTTCCGCGCGCGATTTCGTGGATCGGGAACCAATGTGAAAGCGGTCTGAAAGGATGATTTTTTTTTTTTTTATGGAACGGTGGAGGAGGTTTTTTTTTTTTTTTGTATTTTTTGCTAAAAAGAAGACAAAAGGAGTTTTAATTCCTTTGCTCGGAGACGTTCAATTGAAGAGCCGAGCTGTCTCTTCCCCGGCTGGGTTTTTTGAGTGTGTGAATCCTGAATGACTGACTGTGGCCGACAAAGAAAAATACAGGTAAATTAACATTTTGCCCTCCTACTTTGATACGTTTGACAAAGAAGTCCTACAATTTGAACTTTTAAAAATGGTGTGTTATAGTTCGCGTTTTACTGTTTTAACAAATCTATTCTTCCACTAATTTTCTCATTTCAATTATTTAAGAGTAACATAATGAATTTGATCAAGCGGATTGACTTTTGAACATTTTTGGGTTTCAACTTGTTTAGTAAACTTAAAAAATTGAGACGATGAAATCAATTGCTAGTTGATGGAACAACTCTAAGAGGACTGGGGAATAATGTACTTCCGGTTTGAGAATTCAATGGCAAGGAATTGAAGATAGAGAACGCCAGTAAAACGTGGTTCTTGAAAAATTATGCAAAATATAAACAATTTTTGTATTGATCAATTACCTAAAAGTAAATTATGATTGTATGAAGGTCCGGACATATGTTTGTATAAGATCGCTTCACATGATAAGTGTTTTTTTTAAATAAATGATAAGTGATTGAGGTAAAATGTTTGTTATATCACTCCTAACTACTTAACCGATTTATGTAAGTTGCTGGATCTAAATTTCAAAACCTGCAGCGATTTAGTCAAAATTTATATATATCAAAACTTGTATATATCAAAACTTTTTGTTTTTTTATAATTTTTTTTTTATTATAAGTATTATATTGTTATAGTTTTTTTAACCATAATAACATTTCGGGAAAAAAAATCAGCACTCAACCCATATACGTATTTTTGTCGTTCAATGTGCGACTTGAAGTAATGGTTGGGGGTTGGGTCAATATACGGCCCAAATAGATTGGATATGTGTATCCTTTGTACAAGGCCTACGGTCGGCCTTCTCATCTGGATCGTACATTTGGGCCGTGGATATTATCGAGCCCAGCTGATTAATTAGTTTTGTCATTTGTGTCAATGTTGAGACAAAAACAAAAACAGGAAACTAATTGGAGGAAAACGTGTCAATGAAATTGAGTGAGAAATTAATTATATGAAAAATAATATTGATAATAAAGTTTCGTGGACGAGCATCCGGTGGATTCAGAGCTAGTATAACACTTTCCTAAAAAAAAGAGCTAGTATAACTGTTGGGGGTGTTCGGATGGAAGAAGCCTAGGACCTGTGAGGAAGGCCTAGTACAAGTGAAGTCCTAAAGAGGCCCAAGAAGAGACGAGGCCCGCCCACAGGGCCCGAAGGCATGCGAAAAGGGATCCGTTGGATAAGGTCCGGGGCCCGACTGATCATAATTGAAGAAGCGCATTAGTTGGGATGCCTGAGGAAGTGGTGGCAGGGATCGATGCTCATTAGGCGCCTGACACGTGTTGAGAGCGCCAAGCCAGATGCCGTGGGCAAGCATAGCATCAAATGTGGTGCTGACGTGGAAGCCCGTACGGTAAGGCCAAGACGAGCGGTGAACAGTTATAAATAGGGTGATCGGTAAGCATTTACTGGATTCGGCTTCTCTCACTAAACTTGGGGAAGAAAGCACTCCTCTCACTAAGAAAAAGACTGACTTGAGCGTTGGAGGATTAAAGGGCCACGAGGCCCACCTCTGTGTTGGCAGGTTGATCCACATAGGCGGGGGGGGGGGGGCACGGTACGGAAAGGGAGGGGGTGGATCGAGTAGGCTTCAACAATAACATTTGTAAATTATCGATTTTAGGTATTAATTTCAGATTTTCAGTGCTTGTCGGGTTACGGTCCAGCCATTTTTGTCTCTTTTCAAATGTGATCCAGTGCTCTATCCTATTCTGAATCCGCCACTATGGATGAGTCATGCAAAAAATATAGAGAGAGAAAAACAATATAGAAAGAGAATCTGGTTAGATTTGGTTGTAGACTCCATTTTGAGTGAAATTATTCCAAACAACTTATTTGATCTTACTTGTAAGTGAATGATGTAAAATCCGTTATAAAACCATCTTCCAACAATCCGCTTTCGTGACATTGTTGATTCATGTTAGCACCCCTTGGTTAGCCCCCACTTTGTATGTGTCATTCAATTGTTGGTAAAATGTATGTGCTGGGTGTTATACTTCCCTTCATCATGAATATGGCTTTTACATTCTTCTTTCTTCATGTTGAAACTCTTGTTTTAATTGTTAAAAAATCTGCAGGGTCACATTGTTTGGATTTACACCAATCTCTTGCAACTGATCCACAATGGTTGATCGCGCAACGTGAAGAAGAGATCAATATTATGCGTGGCTGGCTTACAACTTACTATAAGGATCTTCAGGCAATCTAAATCTCTTGCTTTCATTGACGGATTAATGGAATTGTTTACATTGCAAGAACTAGAGTTAACTGGTGGTGTTATTATGTTCCAACAATCCACCCATTATCAATAAGCTAGGTGGCAATTGTTTGGTAACTCGATATAGAGAAAGTTTAGAGGAAAAGGAGATTTATCTAATGTTTTAATTAGAGTTTCAAACAAAAGGGTTTTCCTTTTATGCACGAGTGATGACGAAGAACCAACAGATCTCGATAATTCTAGTTGTTGGGAGTGTTCAATAATGGATCTCATACGACATATCAACATGCCCCTCAAACTCGGACCACTCTAGACAATCTGAAAACGGGGTCGTCGGGATTTTATTTCAACACAACACCTCTCAATCATAAGAGGCTCGAGACAATATCAGAAATCAATTCATCTCAATAACTTGAGTTGTTGAGAGATGTTTCATAATGAATTTTAAAATACATAAGAACAACACGTAATACCCTAACTGAAAAGCTTAATAAACAGGGCAGGATACAAATCGTGATAAAAACCCTTCATTCAATCTAACAGTCCAACTATCTTGTGGCTCTGGCTCACACATGTAACACAAAGACTAACTTGATGGCAACAATTTAAACTGCACAAGATCTATGTAGTACTTAGAAAGCCACCGCCCAATAATTTCCAGCTCAGTCTTGCGCTGGTTGATTAACCAATCGGGGTCACTTGGCATTGATGTCAGTATATCCAGGCTATGAGATCCTGAAATACGTACAACCACATAAAGAAACTACGCATTAAATTCATTAATTTGTAAAAAAAAAAAAAGTTGGGAGAAGTATACCATTTATAATTGAACTTCTTCCAACAATCCGAGTTAGAGACAAATTAGTTATTGTCTTTGTATCAAAGCTGGTTTGATTGTGAGATCTTGTCTTCAAACCCTCACGACCTCCACTTTTAATTGTTGTCTAAAGCACTTAGTATGATAGACCTTTGCAAACTTCAAGCTCATGAATTGGCGTTCGTTTGAAAGGCATGTAAGAAAGTGGTTAAGATCCATACATATATTGACATCTCCAAACAGGTCAATTTATTAAAACTAGTTGGTTTATGTTATGATATCAAAGTGAGTTTGTCCTTTAGGACACGTGTTCAAATCCTCACAACCTCAATATTAATCATTGTGTTAAACACATTATGTGACAGGTCTTTACAAACTTCAAAGTCATTTTCAATTTTTCATCCACTAACTAGGTGAAAGGTGATGCATACATCTACTACCTAATTAATTTATAAGTTAGTCATAACTTCAATATTAATCATTGTTTTAAATATATAATATGACAGGACTATTCAAACTTCGAACTCATTTTCATTATTTTTTTAAAGACATGTGTCATCATTTGTCATATAACTTTTGCATCCACTAACAAGGTGTGATGCATGCATCCACTACCTAATTAATCATTATTTTTCATGAATAATTAATTATTAATTTGTCAGTTAATAAACAGACAAGCGTGAAAAACATGGTAAATGTGTTACCATTAATTGTAGACACCGCGATAATGCTATCTGATATGTTCTCCAACACCCTGTAAAATGGGTGGCCAAATGGACAATATAAAAAAACGAAATTATCAAACACTCTAAATTATATTGTTCAAAATAGAGAGAAACATGCATATTACGTACGTACGTACCCGCCGCTGCTGTAAGGATCTCTCAGCCCATTCGAGAAGATGATGTTGCTAGCAAATCTATGCAGAGCCAGCTTCAAGTCCTGCTTAATTATTTATTTATTTTTTAATTAATAATATTCAATAACAAACGACAAACCCTAGCTAGCCGTATTCTACTGCGTTATTATATTGCTAGTATATATATTAATGGATTTACATACGTGGCCTCCATAAAACGTGGTGACCCAGTGAGGCTGGGGAACGATTCCAAAGCGGCTCCGGCAAATTTTGGTAAAGCTTTTCAGATCAAAGGGCGCCGGCGGGAACATCGTGTCGTCGCCGCCGTCGTGCCCTATTGGGAATACGAGCTCGCTGCACATCTGCCAACTCCATGCACTAGCTGAAGGTGCAGGAGGAGCGGAGTCAGAGGCGACGTCGTAACAGGAACTGTCCCCCATGTAAGCGACGACGCCGGCGAATATCTGCCCCAGAACGTCGTCGTTTGGGGCTCCGTCGATGGCACTGCAGACTATGCCGACGGGGTAGTCCGGCGGCTCGTCGTACTGAGCCGCTTCCGAGTACAGGGAGTCCAGGTAATCCTTTAGATCGAATGTCCTCCTCAAACGGCTGACACGTGTAGAGAATATATGTTTATCACAACATTCAATCTTATATATATAGACCGCGAAGTCTTCACATGTTCGAATATTATGCACTTAATGAAGTCATGAAATTTTTTATCAAATAAGACTCTGATATCATATCCAAAGATCAGTTAGTTTCAAATTTTAATAATTCGAGCTATTGTAAGATGTTCAATATATAATAGATCTTATATATCACGTGCTGACAATAATATTACGTATAAATTACCTGCACGTTTTGAATTTCTTGCTGAGGATTGAAAGTCCATTGCGCTTAGAAGCCACTCTTTCAATTTCTACCCACGACTTGCGAATCGTCTTGTAGCAGCTCTCGCTAGCTTCCTACATGCAGCATGAGAAGGTTCACAGACAACATTATTATTTGATTCCAATAACTCGAGTAATTATTGCGGAAGATATATTTAATTATGAATCATTACTTTGAAATCCTTGGAGACGATAGAGTAGTAACCGCCTCCAGGCTTAACTCCGTCGAAGTAAAGGATGGGAGCCGACGAAGCCAGCGCTCCAAGCGCTATGTGTGGGTATTTCAGCCTGAACCACGATGCCAGCACTGCATGCATGCATGCACACGCCGATCGAGTTGGTGAAAATTAAAGTACGTAACGTACTGTAAAAATTTGCCTGTCCAAAAATGATACTATATATATATATATATATATATATATATTCGCGAAAGCTGTGTAAGAGAGAGCTAGCTTACTTCCACCGTAGGATCCCCCGACGACGATGACGGGGGAGTTTCCGGCCGAGTGAGTCCGCTTGACGTGGAGGATGACGGCGGCGTAATCTGCCATCGCCTGCGCGGAGGTCAAGTAGCCGAGAGAAGCGGCGTTCCTTGAAGCTTTCTCCCACGACCCAAACGGCACCGACTCCCCGTAGTACCGATGCTGCAGGCGTAGAGTAAACTTTTGTTGTTTTTTTGAAAAATCACATTTTGCTACTTGAATTTATTTTTTTCTTACAAATTTACTGCCTAAACATTATTGTTTTACAAAAAGTTCCATATATGCATTTTACCGCTTCCAATACGATGCGTAAACTTTTAAAACCTTACAAATAGGTCACCTGTACATGTTGTTACGAGGAGTTACATATATTATATTACGAATTGTTGGTATATAGGGGGCCAGAAAGTGACCCGATCCTATCAGACTCGATCTTACTTACAAACCCAAAAATATATAACCCGCGACCCTAAACTAACCGTAAAGATAAACTAACCCAACCCAACCCGATCGGGGTCGATCCGGGTCGATTCATGATTGATCAGTACCTCAATATAGAGCAGGAGGGCCTTGAAATGGGGAGCATTCTCAGTGAGGAAGCCGATATTCTCCAAGGCATGCTCAATCCTGCCTTCAAGCCCAAAGTAGACCAGAATGGGAGCGTTGGTGGTGGCGCCGCCGCCACCCCAGTGCTTCACGTTCACGATGTACCTCTGCCGGAAAGTGGTGTAACTTTCCGGCCTGTAGTTGAAGTGGTCGAGCGTCTGGTTGTAGTAAAACGTCACAAAATCGCTCTCAACGTCGTCGTCGTCAGGCTGCCGCCGTGCTTGGGTTGGGCTTCTCGGTCTGTGGACGCCGAGTCGGGAGAACTTGGCTTGTGCTGGAGGAGGGAACTGAGCCAATAGGAAGAGGAGGAGAAGGAGTGATAATAAGGAAAGTATTAAAGTTGGTTGGCTGAGAGTTTTCATGTTATTGGCGATGAGGCTCTTTGGTTGTTTTGTGGCAATGATTCATCAGTGCCCTGAGGTCAGGCATATTTGTAGTGTACTTGATCAAACATAATGGGGCCATATGATTTCAATATTGAAAGAAACGTAGCATGAGGTTGTTAAATTCCGGTTGCAAGTGGATCGCCGATACAATCGGTTTGTGTCAGTTCATCATGACGTCGGTTTAATTATATATGTGGAAAAAAAATACGAAAAACCCCACATTATAACAACAAATAAATTGTACATCTCACCCCGTGAGGGTATTATCCTAATTGACCAGCGCTTGGTGCGGGCGGTATGAGAAGTATTGTACAGCCCCGCCCAATTTTCATCACTACTCAATCCAAATTCTGTGATCTTATTGAGGACAACCAACTTTTTAATGAATTATGAGTCAGCTCGCGAGCACAACTCGTTGATAAAACAAGTAGAATTCGACCTTGCGACACGTTTATTAACAAATTGAGCCTGAACAAGATAATGGTCTGCTCGATTCGGTTCATTAATTACCAGCCGAATCTGAACAAGTAGGTTTGAATAAGTAATAGGATATGATTTCATTCGTCTATACTTTATATCCCCCGTTAGAAAAAGGAGAAGTATCTTTAGCTGTCTGTGATCATTAATTAATGCCAATAATTATTCGGATAATTAACTTTGATTGTAGTGGATGTTGAGTCATGTCATGGAACACTCAAAATGTAATTAAGTTATTATCGCCATATGAAGCTCGTGAGCCTGTCTATAGAGGTCGCGGAAGAAGACCTTAAAGACATAGTTAGTAAATACTCCGTTTAATACATGTATATGTACCTGTACATATTTTATCAGTTAAAAATTTCAGTATTTGTATTATTGTCAAGCCGTTTCATTTCCCCGTTTATTTGATGGCTCCCGTACTAAACACGTATAAAACCCGTATATCACGTTTAATATCCGTATTTAATGAATTAAATTGTTAAATTTACTATTATTTATATATTTTTAAAATAATCAAATTTATATATTTATGATTGTTAACGTACTATTAAACGTAACATTAGCTCAAAAATAAAGTAAAATACCCGTACATATTTTATACGTAACTTTCCCGTACTATATTTTACTAACCATGCTTAAAGAGATATATCTTCGACATAAAGAAAAGGGTCCTAGCTATCGCCATTATAGGGCACAATTATAATCAAATGGAAAGGATTACCACTCAATAATTGCACAAGCAATGATGTTTAGTACTTTGGATCGCCACTAATGGCCATTAGGACGCCGCATTATAAAAAAATGCAACAAGAAGAGCCTATCGAATGCTTGCCTTCGTCATCACTTTTTCTCTTCTAATCCTTTTATTGAGTAGCTACTAGCTAGCCATTATGGCCTTTGTTCTATCTGCTTTATGTAGGGCTCTTCCCTTTTTCTATGTTGGGTTTAATTATTTGAAACGCGCAACTAGTGTATGGGGCAATAGTTTGAGATTGGGGGGGTTTTGGATTGCGATAGAGTCGTGATTACAAATAGTTTTCGTAAATAATATCATCAATGAGGATATCGTCGAGACGATTCCAACAGTGAGAGACACTCTTAGAGGTTATGTTATTATATATCTTTCATATGAGTTCAAATTCAAACAGAAAGCATTTCGAAATCGAAATTGAAGAGCACAAATCATTGATCTGAGTTCGAATAAAACTTTTATTTGGTTCTTATTAGTGGTTTGGGATATCGGTTGGTATCCGGATGGTCGATTATGAATTTACCGAATTGAATACCAAGTATTGACCAACATTGAATCGAATTTTGAACCGAGGTGTATTACTGTGATTTGGTTCAGTTCTACATGGTTTTAGTTTATCAAATTAGATGTCCACGTACCCCTATGTACAATCCACCATCTTGTATAGCACAATCCACCCGCACATATATACACAAGCTGCTACCTTAAACAGATTTTGCCTTAGGGCTGTTTTCTATCTCTTGTGATAGAGTTCTCTATTCCATGTATGGACCATGTCATCATCAACAGAAAGTCACGGTGATCTCGCTGATAATCATGTTGATAGACATGTGGTATCATTTCCTGAGAACAGAGAAGAGAATTAAGACGAAGAAAGTGGACACTGCACACAATCATGTTGATATTTTCACGAAGTCGGTTTCACATGGCAAGTTCTAATATTGCTTGAACATGGTGAATGTTCTGAGTGGTTCATGCCTTTAGGGGCATTCTAATGCAGGAGTGAGTATGAGTACTTGTATTTGAGGAAGAATTGAAGTCAATGGGAGATTTGTTGCTATGACTTTAAGATAGATTGTCTGCCATCGATTGAACGTCACATGGCTTTCTTTGAAGATGATATTCATACATTCTTAATCCATGTAATCTGTATCTTCTCAAGTGAAACTCGTGAACATAGGCACGTAGCAAGCACACATTGTGTTGGTGAACCACATACATTCATGTATGTCTTTATTTTCTTGCATTGTCGATTTGGTTGTCTTTATTTCCAATCCATTAGGATTCACTTGCAAATATATTCATAATTAAGGTTTTCATTGTATTCTCTAGGGTTTTATTCAGTATCTTGAGAGCCAAGTCTGGTACTATGTTTTTTTAGTGTGAATTAATCTTTTTCGGAAAAAAAAAACTAAGGACGTATATGGATAAAAGTGTCATTGTGCGTCCTAAATTGCTCAACATAATAATTTCACATGTATCTGGTCTGTAATTTAAATACCTTGTCTACTCAAACAACATGATAATGACAAAATTAAAATCCTCTACCAAAATAATATAGTAATTATATCTTACTACATTAAAAAATTTATTTAAAAGAGGTATTTTTTTTTAATTAGCATACCCAAATTAACATATATACCTTAATTTCAATTTAAACCATTCACTTACATTCCAAATTACATTTTAAACTTAATTATTAGGCCAAAAAAATCACAATTCTTTTTTCTTTTCTTTTCTTTTCCCCCTTCATATTCCTCCCATAATTAATATTTTCCATAACAAACGATTCATTTTCCATTTACCCCTTCACTTCCTCTCGTTATATAAACCACTCTAATGGTCTCACATTTTCCCCACAACCAAATCAAACAAACAATTACCACCAAAAACAAAAACAAAAAAATGGCGAGGAAGAGAGTGAAGCTTGCATGGATCCCAAACGAATCCGCCAGAAGATCCACAATGAGAAACCGCCGCCAAAGCCTGGTGAAGAAAGTGAGGGAGCTCTCGATCCTCTGCGGCGTCCCTACTTTCTTCATCGTGTACTCTCAGGGCGAACCGGAACCCACGGTCTGGCCGCCCACCCGGGAAGAAGCCGAAAGGCTGCTGGCCCGGTTCCTGGCCCTGCCCGCGGTCGAGCAGACCAGGAAAACGACCAACCAAGAGAGCTACCTCCGGGATATGCTCAACAAGCTTCGCGGTGTCCACAGGCAACAGCTCCAGGTCCTGAACGAGCTCGAGCTCGCCTACCTTATGGATCAGGTATTCGGATTAAACGTTGTGGCTACGATGTAAGTTTTTTTTTTACGTCATCTTACCACTGTCATATCATTGATGTTTCTGAATCTCTATATAACTGCATGCAGGTTCACTATACGAGCAGCGGGCTGGAGGGGTTGGACCTGTACGGGTTGAACCGGCTGTCGGTTCTGCTGGATGAGAAGCTGAGGGAGGTCAGGAAGAAGGCTGAGTACTTCGAAGTTGAACTGAAGGGATCAGCTGCAGGGACAAATGTTGGAAATAACGTTGTTGTTCCTGAAAACCCTAATTTGTCGTGGCAGGAGGAGGACTTCGTGAATCACATTATTAATCAGGACGGTGGCGACGGCAACGGTGGTGATGTGGGCTTCCCGCCGATGGAGTAGTGGTTTGAATTTTCGGTTTCTTAATTAGTGATCATTTACATTTTACAGTTGACAGTTGTTGTGTTTTTTTTCTGTTTCATCGTGGTAGTGATGATGAACACAGTTGTTTCGGTTGTAAGGTAGTTAATTCTGGTTTGATCAATAAAAGGGCGCAACAGCCTCTTAATTCTGGTTTGATAAATAAGATTAATATACGGGGAGAGATTGTGAGGGAGATGGAGGATGAATGAGAATCAGCGGCGGATCCAGAACACGTTAGAGTATTGGGCCGCATTTAAAACGTGGTGGAGAGGTTTGGGCCTTATAAACATTGAAATATATACTCAAAATCGAAAATTTACAAGCGCTATACGAGCTTTGGATCCGAGGAGGGCTGGGCCGCGTGATCGAGGGCGGCCCCCCTAAATTCGCCGTTGATGAGAATTTGAAAACAATCTCGATGGTGTTATGAAATCTATGGAATGAAAGAAATAATCATAATCACCTTATCAACAATCGGAAGGTAGGAGAATTAGAAATTGTTGGCAGATTCCTAAACTATTTGGAAGAATTCCTCTCATACTATAGAAAGGAAATAGACGAATGAGAGAAAGCCATCTTTGGGTTGGCTCAAGGTGAATGTTGATGCAACTGTGTTCGATGGTCAAAGAGGTGGGTATAGTCAATAGTGTCGTGGTAAGGGACTCTATAAGGAAAATTTTGCTTGCGACGGTGGGGAGAGATAGCAATCATGCACGTCGGAGATTGCAGACCAGTAGCGGATTTATAACAGGTTAGAGCACTGGGCCGCATTTAAAAAAAAGCGATGTAGAGGGCTGGACCGTAACCCTACAAACATTGAAATATATATCCAAAATCGGAAATTTACAATACTATAAGAGATTTGGATCCGAGGAAGGCTGGGCTGTGGCCCGGAGGGCTGCCCCCTAGATCCGCCGCTGTTGCAGAGTTGCTTTCGTTATGGAAACTCATGGAAATGAAAGATAATTTCCGGATGGTAGTCTCTCTCTACTCATCTCCATCACCATTAACCGTCAACCTAAATTTCGACCCAAATTTGTTCATTTTTTTATTTCAAAATTCAGACAAAACCGTTTTATTTGAAAGTTCAGACCAATTTTGTCTTTTATACATCAAAGTTCGAATCAAAACAGGGCATTACCCTTTAAGACATGGAAGCCACGTCACAGCCACCTCAACATTTTACTTTGACAGCCTGTTTGGATACAATTCAAGAAGAAATGGAAATGGAATTCTATTTCCAATTCCTATTTTTATAGAATTCCATTTCCAATTTTAGTGTTTGGTATAATTCCTCCAACTAAAGAAATGAATTGCACTTTTAACAATAATTAATAATATAATATATTTATTTTATCTTGGGAAATGAAATATGAATGATAGAGAAAGAGAGTAGTGTGATAGTTGGTTAATAAAATAATAATAAATAGTGATGGGACCCACTAATTCCATCTTCATAAACACAATTCCTATCACTTTTGATAGGAATTGTAATTCCCAAAACTTAGCCCAAATGGAATTCATTTCTCAACCTTCTTATCCTTCCAAACATAAAATATGGAACTGGAATTGAAAATGGAATTCCAATTCCTGAGTTTTTTGTCTATCCAAACAGGCTGTGAGTCCTAAACGGAAGAAAATGTTTGACTATCACTATTAATGATCAATCCAAATTTGTTAATTTTCCAAAATTCGGACAAAATTGTTTTATATAAAAGTTCGCTCTAAAATTATAATTTATGTCAAACTTCAATCCAAAACGAGGTATTATCCCTAATAAAAACATAATTTATAAACGATAATTTTGCTAAAATTTCGTATTAGTTCGATGACGAGATAATTAACCCAATTTTGCTTCATTTGGGTTAAGTCTTTATTTTTTACTCCTTACCCGTCTCAGGTCAAAGTGTCAAACCCCTGCAGGCTGCAAGGGCTTCTGTTCTCTTCCACTCGTCCTCAGCCGCTGTGCCGTCAGGCCCTCTCCCGTCGACCCAGCTCTCCCCCTCTCCACCGTTTCCTTTCCAGCTTTCTGATTCTATTGGGGAAGACGTCCTGGCAACCTGAGTGCAACGACGACAAGCTGCTGGATTCCTCGTGCGGGTAGCGACTGGATCGCGACTGACAGCGAGCTGAATCGGAGGCAGGGTAGGGCTCTTTTGTGTTTCTTTGCTGGTTTGTGGGCAAAGGTTAAATCCTTGAATTTCTTTCTGTTTCTTTGAATGGCGAATTTAAGGAGATCATTGTTCTGCTCTCTGAAATTTTTTGGCAAAATTGAGCAAAAACATCTGCATTGGTTGTGCACATCCATACGAGTCGCTTGATTTGGCATAATTAGGATCAATTGCGGGGTTCACTCAGCGGTTTCGGAATGGTGTGGTTGGATTTTGCTATTATGGAGAATGTTCGCATTGCTATCAGCTAGGGGATATTGTTGAAGACTGAATGTTTTGGTTCCGTAGAAAGTTATTTGGTTCTTGCTCTATTGAAATATAACTTTCTGAATGGTCTTTAGTAGAGTCTACATTGTAGAGACAACCGTGGGCTAGTTTGAGTGTTTGGCATTGTAGGTTCTTCTCTGGTTTATGGTCAAGGAAGGAATTTGACAATTTTTATTTTGTCAGCCTGAGTAGAATGTTTGTTTTTCCCCGTTTCGTTTTGTGATGTCTCTTTGAGGGGTTTGTTGGCAGAGAGGGACGTTATATTGAGTCCTTGCAATATGTTGAAACCATGTGTTAGTTTTTGATGCAGTTTAGAGGTCTTCATGTGGCAATCTTAGTCTTGTCTTTGATATTGTAAATTCTGGTTCATGTGTTATACTTCGGATCAAAGTATAGAGTTGTTCTCGCTGTAGTTTCCTGGTCGTTGCGATACCTGCATTTTAGATTTCCATTTTTCTTGTCATGATTAAAATTTACGGGCAGGGGTAAGAATTTTCAAGAACTGAAACTGAGAACGTGCTTATATTTTGGCTCTAGAGTGTAAAAACCGGAACTTTCCTGGCGCAGGATAGACATTTCCGAAGTGGGAAAACAAGGAGCTTCAAACTAATTATACAAAATGCTTAGAGCAAAACGGTTCACAAATCTTGCTCGTTCAGCCAGAGCTTCATTGTTCTCATGTGAAGTCCAAGAAGCTCGCGCCCTACACCGTATCATTGTCGACCTGAGGAGCCAGCCTCAGCTGTCTTCTGTTCGCTTCCTTGACTTCTATCAGGTACACTCATGTCCCATCTTCCTAAAACAAAAATCTGAAGAATCCCAACTCTGCTCTTTATGCAATATCTTGCTTTTGGAACTCAATGTTTGTTTGATGGGGTCCAAAACAATGGGGAATACAGCTTGGGAACAAAGCCGCTATTGAGAAAGAGCGTGCCAGGATGTAAGTTTTCCACTTGTTACGGTTCATTGGTTTGCTTTCTCGCTGCTAGTTTATGGGAGTTTAATTGATAATGGATGCCACCTGATTTAGGGCAGTACAGATGAGATGAATAGAGGGTACTTTGCTGATATGTCAGAGTTCAAGAAGCATGGTGGAAAGGTACAAAGACTGCTGATCTTTTTTTCTTTTTTTTCTTTCTTGTGTGTGGCTGAGCTTTGTGAATGGTTTGGGATTTCTTATGACCTGTGTACTATTCAACAGTTTGAATATTGTCATTGTAGATTGCTCAGGCAGATAAGATATTAATCCCTGCAGAGACTGCAGCTAAGTTTCCAGACTTCGAAGTGAATTTCTCCGATGGTAGAGCCTTAAAGCTCCCTACTAGATTCAGTGGGAATATCACTAAGTCTGATGCTTCTGATTTTCCGAATGCAACTCTGCTTTGTCTTTCGTTTAGAGCAAGCTCGCAGGTAAATTGAGAAAGTTTGAAGATGCTTTACATTTTCGACTCTTTGAGCGTTCTTTTGATAATTCCTTGCAAATATGCTAATCATAGTGCAAACAGTGACAAGTCATGAAATTTGATGGTTCCGTGAAATGTCTTAAATGAATGTCCCCTCTTTGATAGGGAATGATCGACTCTTGGACTGTGCCATTCCTTGAGGCATTTCGTGATGGCAAAAATATTCAGCTCTATGAGGTACTGAGTTTTATTCTGTTATTTATGAAATATTTTCTTACATGGTACTTGGAACTGTAACCTCATGACTGAAACTACCATATCGATATCATATTTCAGTGCTTCAGTGTACTAGTTTAGATTAGATGTAATTCAGTTAGCAAAGAGATCCATCTCAACAGTCACCTTCCATAACTGATTCCTCTCAGTTTTCATCATTCTTTTAACTCCTATCATTTTAGATATGTCCAACGAGAGACTGTTCTGGAGTGTCTCCGGCCGGAATGAACTAATGTGACAGTAAACAGAACCTGAGGCTGTAATATCCTTTCAGTTGTCATTTTGGTTGGATTGACAATTCATTGCTCGTCCACATTAACTCGCAATTGGATTAATCCTTTCTCTCTGTGGGCAAAATTTTACTAACATGAGCTTGTTGGTGGTAAATGTTTTTGCAAGTCATTCTCCATTTGCAATTAGAAGTTCCTCCTATGATGAATTGTTATGAAGGGGTGTCTGTAATTTGCAGGTGTCATTCATAGACTCATGGCTCCTATGTCGAAGTCCAATCAAGAGGCTGCTGCTTCGGACGATGAAGAAATCCACAATTGACTCGAGTCGAGCACTTCAAAAGCAGATTGCTTATTCGTTTGGCGACCATTATTACTTCCGAAAAGAACTGAAGATATTGAACCTTCTCACAGGGTAACCTTACTGGTTCCCCCCAGTTACATTATAGCGTTGAGGAGCTACCAAGGATGAACTATGATGCCTTTGTTTACCCTTCTTTGATATTCACAGGTACATTTACCTTGTGGACAAATTTGGCAGGATTAGATGGCAGGGATCCGGCACAGCCACCGAAGAAGAGATGTCCTCCCTCCTCTCATGCACGTCGTTACTCTTACAAGATTGAAGTTTCCTCTTCACTCACCCATCCCCGACATAGACAGATTTCCGAGCAACTGAGATCGGGATCACTTACGGAGACCCAAGTAATAAGCTTTCAGAAACCAAACCAACAATGGTCTTATAACGGTACATGTCCATAAACCCTGAGTTTTTTTTGTTGTTGGATGAAGGTCGTGACATGTGTTTAAGGTCGGATATGGGTTTGGGTTTCAAAACCGAACCGTCCTTATAGCTCTCTATCGTTGCCTACCACCAGACTATATCTTAAGAATCAATTCTGCTGACGCTTGTACTTCATCAGCCGACCATTCATTCTCGTCCTTTGCTATTCAAGGCCTTCTCTATATAGAATGTCCTATGTAGCACATGCATGATCCTGCCCTGTTTCTCAGAAATGGTTGCCAGCCTCTGATACTTCATTCATTGTTGCATGAGTCTGGAGTGTAACTAGTGTTTATCATCATATATGGAAGTTCTGTAATGACAAAGGAAAGGTTCCTAGAGCAAGAGTTGATGTGAAAGATTTTGAGAACTACCCGAGAGCAAGAATGTGCCAAAAAGTCTTCTATTTAATGAAAGATAAAGCCAACTGCTCAACTCATCGAGGAGAAAAAAGAGGAAAAAAGGCCAAGCTTTTTACAGAAATGGGCTGTGACGTAAATGTCCAGCCTGCAGTGAATGTGGATGGTGACCTAGTTTCCTAGTTTTGGTACAAAATGGCGAGCTTGGGTTCCTTAACAACAAAGCAAGGCCATGTGATGATATATGTGTCCATTCGAGTTTAGGGTTTGCTGCTGATTCTGATGCCTGATATGATATCACATTGGTGAACTTGGAAGTTGTGTTTAGTGACTAACTTGTAGCATGCATGTCGTTATTATTTTATTTATCGGTTTCAGGTTCGTATTAAAAGTACGATTTAAATACATCATCATGTCTCACATGTCTACCAAGCAAATTTTCAGTTACTCGCACGTTTGAGGCTGAGTCTCTAGTTTCTCAAGATGGTACTAAACTACTAATATCACGAGATGAATAGATAATTGATGGATATACAAATTAAAGATAGTATGCAAAATAATTAATGTTAACAAAATCAAGATAAAAATAAGTGCAGAAAAGAAGAGTAAGGTGGGGAATGTAAATTATCTTCTGGCTTTTCAAAAAGTGGGAAATGCCAAGAAAAGAAAAGCAAATTGGTACATTGGGTAGTGCAAAAGAGATGGATTTTGTGCTTAGTGACGAAGTTGGAGGATCTTTTTGGCCAATCTTTTGTTCTTCCCAATTCGGGTTAATTGCATGATTGGTCACTGAAATTACGAAAAACGTTCATGTTTGGTCACTCAAAATATTTAAATCCATTCATAGTCACTAGATTTAGTAAAACAATTCAAGTTTGGTCACTCTCCGTCCAATTCCGTTAACTCTGTCTGATGTGGCAGTCAACTTTCAAAGTTGACCGTTAAATGTATGATGTGGCAATTAAAAAAATAAAAATAAAAATTTCCACCTCATTATCACTACTACCAGAAAAAAAAAACAAAAACAAAAATCAAAATAGAGAGAGAAAACGACAGCTCTTGACCGCCGACGCTGGATTCCGGAGAGAGAGAGTGAAAGGTGGGCAACTCGTGATCTAAGCTCTGGTCCTGGTCGTTCAATGGTGTATATTGGTGGGAGGGGAGAAGAGTCAGTGAGATGACGAGTCGACAACGGTGGTGGTATGGCGATGTCAATGGGGATGGAGAGATCAAAACCGCCGCTCCACAATTTCAATCTCCCAAGCTTGAAGTGGGGGAATTAGAGAGAACTCTGATGCATGATTATCCCCTCTTCTCTGCCTTCCACCTATATATAATCAACCACCTTCCCTCCCTTGGTACTCAAGACCAGACTCAAGAGCTAGAGTGTACAAACCAGCCATAGAAACAAGGAAAAAGCACGAATGGGTTCCCTGACTCAAAAATCAGTTCTCGTACTATGCGGCGACTACATAGAGGATTACGATGTTGTCGTCCCTTTCTTCACCCTCCGAGCCTTTGGCGTACGCGTTGACTGTGTCTCCGGGGGTAAACTCCCCGGCCACCGATGCTTCACCGCCGTCCATGACTTTATGGGCTTCGAGGTAATCACACTATTGAATCCCAACCCATTAATCACCCACTTCCAATTAATCGAAAGCTTGATCCGTGGTAATCGAATTTTGTTGATGCAACTTTACATAGAGCTGCAGGGGCATTTCTTCACCCTGAACGCCAACTATATACGAACAAGTGAAGGCCGACTCCTACGACTGCCTCCTAATCCCTGGCGGGGGGGTTCATTGAGCTTCTGAGCGCCGACGACAAGACGGTGGGACTGGTGAGGAAGTTCGAGGCCGGGAAGCCTCTCGTCACCAGCTACCACAGCCAGATCTAGCTTGAAGCCGGTGATCGAGTTCGCCGGCGGGACCGGGTGGGAGCAGCCTGGGATTCAGTCGGTGCTCGACATCACTGTCTGCCTCATTAGCTCAATTGGGTGGCCGACTCATGGGGAGTACATGAAGGTTGGTCGACATCACCGCTGTAAGTTGCGACCAAGGTGGGAGTGAGGTGGAGTTGATAATTAGTGAGTTAAAATTATTTTTTTTTATTTTTTATTTTTCATTTTAGTAGTAGTGATAATGACATGGAAATTTTGATTTTTTTTTTAAATTGCCACGTCATACATTTAACGGTCAACTTTGAGAGTTGACTGCCACATCAGATAAAGTTAACGGAGTTGGACGGAGAGTGACCAAACTTGAATTGTTTTACTAAATCTAGTGACTATGAATGGATTTAAATATTTTGAGTGACCAAACATGAATGTTTTTCGTAATCTCAGTGACCAACCATGCAATTAACCCTCCCAATTCCTTTTGCTGTGAGCCACGGTGGTGCACACTAGTGCTTGTGGTCGGGGCAAGAATAGCGAAACTGTATCGGAGATTGTATCGAAAATGTTAGCGGTATGATATTTGTATTGAAAATATAGGTCAATCGTTTCATACCGCTAACGTTAAAATTCGTCTATCAATAAAATAAGTCGAACGGCTGATACAAGATGCTTTCACAAACGTAAAATGACTTAATTGTAGAAGAAAGAAAGTTGAATGACCCAACAGCTAAACCTCAGAATTTTCAGAATAAAACGCTTTATCCAATGTGTGAAAAATGGGGGGGGGGGGGGGGGGGGGGGGGAAGGAAATAATTGAGAAAGTGTCCTCTGCTACTGCTTATCGCCCTCTGCTAAAGTTTCAAGCTTTTCCCCCCCATCTCTCTCGCTCGCTCCCCTGTTTCCTTCTCCTTCGCTGTTCGTTATCCGTCGTATTTTATTTATTCATTTCTCATTCTCCATTTTGGCCTGACCGTTACGGAGACCAAAACAAACCGCGTATTCCTTCCTTGTTCCTTTCTCCCTCGTCGTCTTCTTTTCCCCTCGGCAGCCAGAGAGAAACAGAATAGACTCTGCCACACAGATTATCGTTACAGAGACCTGACAAAAAAGATTAATAATAATTATTATTATTATGGCGTCGGTCTATCCGGCGGGTGTCGTGTTAGTCGCAGCCGTGCTGATTCAGTCAGCGCTGACGGTGGTCGGAGTTACGGGCGGCGGCGGTGTTGGGTATTTCCCTGCGGCGTTGATGCTGGAGCGGGGAATTCCGCAGCCGGGTCGTAGAGTGGGTCTGGGTCAGCTGAGTGCGCGAGACAGTGTCCGACATCGGAGAATGTTGCAGTCCACCTCCGGCGGTGTCGTGGATTTCCCTGTTCAGGGGACATTCGATCCTTTCCTCGTCGGGTAAATGAAAATCGATCATCCGAAAGCTGATTTCTTCCTGTTCATTTGGAATTTTCACCATTCGCAAGCTTTTTGAGGAGTTTGATAAGTTTAAGCTTCTGGGTATGATGTATTTTTGAATTTCCGTGTTATAGCTTTCCAATTTTGGAATTAGGTCGATTAATTGGCTTCGAGTTCTTTTCTTCCCGCTACCAAAGTTTCCCTCTTTAGAATTCCAAGTGACTTTTCCTCTTGTTTTCTTCTATGGGTATCTGTAAAAGGGGTCCTGAGTGGCCATGGCAGAGCATCTGGGAATAACTCTCATTTCTTGGTGTTCTTCACTCTGGCTTTTCCTTTTTCTTTTGTTCTTGTGATTGGACATATATCCATTGATATTCTTGGTTATTCCAGGCTGTACTATACAAGATTACAAATAGGTTCTCCACCGAAGGACTTCTATGTACAGATAGATACAGGCAGTGATGTTCTGTGGGTGAGCTGTAACAATTGCGATGGTTGTCCTGTTTCAAGTGGCCTTCAGGTGACCTTGATTTTCATCTTTTTGTTTAGGCTCGGTCTCTTTTTTGCTACCATAAGTTCTCGCACTGCATATGAAAACTATTGGTAGTGTTGATCTATCTATTTGTATGACAGATTCCCATGAATTTCTATGACTCCGATAGCTCATCAACCGCTTCGTTGATATCTTGCACGGACGAAAGATGTGTTGTGGGACTGGAAGCTGCAGATTCCGGGTGCTTAGAGAACAAGAATCAATGTGGTTATACTTTCCAATATGGCGATGGTAGTGGCACATCGGGGTATTATGTAGCTGACATGTTGCATCTTGATACGATTGCTGGGGGATCTGTGACTACTAATTCAACTGTTCCTATTGTGTTCGGGTGAGCTAAGGCTTCACTGCCCTTTAGAGAAGTTTTTGACTTTTGTGTAGAGTTTGAAATTTGTTGACAGTGTCCAGCTTATGGATAGTTAAGTGGTTCAATTGAGCAGGTGTAGCATCTTGCAAACTGGGGACTTGAAGAAGCCAGATAGAGCAGTTGATGGGATCTTTGGTTTCGGACAGCAAGGGATGTCTGTGATCTCCCAACTTGCTTCACAAGGAGTATCGCCAAGAGTGTTCTCCCACTGTTTGAAAGGCGACGATGCGGGTGGTGGTATATTGGTTCTTGGAGAAATTGTGGAGCCAAATATTGTCTATACTCCACTTGTTGCATCGCAGTAAGTTTTTGCTCTTCTAGTTTCATGTCTTAAAAGTTAAAATGGGGTTGTTCCACTGCTGAAAGTCAAATTGTATATTTTCAGTTTTATCCAGCCTATTATTATGTTATGGAGAATTGTTAGGTACTGTCATATACTGGTTTGTTTGAATTTTTTTACAGGTTAAACCTTTGGAATGTAAAATGTAAATAGCTTGTCACTAGGTTCACAAGAATGAAGTTTGGATCTATTACATTAGGTCGGCTGGAATTGGTATATGTAGATATTAGTCATGCGTGATTATCCTTTTGATCAGTTGCTTGGGTGATGATGGGCTCCCCAGCTGGCACCTCGCTTGTACTTCTCTTGCAGCCTACTTCTCACTGGTGCTTGACTATCACATGTTTTATGACTTCAAATTGTTGTTCGATTTGATTGTTGTTTTCGTGTTAATTTTCCCTTAAGTTCAATGCATTTCCGAGTGCATAATTCTCTACTTACTGCCAGCTTTAACTGACTAGTGTGCCTTAAATTCCAGGCCTCACTATAATGTGAATCTGCAGAGCATATCGGTGGGCGGCCAAACTTTGGCCATCGATCCATCGGTTTTTGGCACATCAGATAACAAAGGAACCATAGTTGACTCGGGAACAACCTTGGCGTACCTTGCAGATGCAGCTTATGATCCTTTTATTAACGCAGTAGGTTCCAAAATCGATACTTCAGGATTAAACATTTCTTGTTTTGTAAATTCACTCTTTAGTACTCTTCTCACGCAGATAAATAGTGTGGTTTCACAAACCGTGCAGCCGATTGTTTCAAAGGGGCAAATATGTTACTTGATGACCGCAAGGTTTCACTTCCTAAATCAAGGCATCCTTTCATTTCTGAGTTGATTGTGTTGACTTTAACCATGAGCCTAACCTGGAACCACTTGTTTTAACTGTTCTTTTTAGTGTTAACGACATCTTTCCTCAAGTTAGCTTACACTTCTCTGGTGGTGCATCCATGCTTTTCAATCCTCAAGACTACCTTGTGCAACAAAATTCCGTTGTAAGTTTTTAGCTTATTTTGCATTTTCTCGTTCCAATATACCTCGGCGGATATTAATAATACTTGCTTCACTTTGCATGATAGAATGGTGCTTCAGTGTGGTGCATGGGTTTCCAGAAACTGCATGGTCAATCAATAACAATATTAGGAGGTATTAACCCTATATATGAATCTTCAATGGTCCTCAGTTCTACTAAGTGATACCTAAAAGGCTAAAACACCAGATTACAAAAGGTTTCACTCTTGTATGCTCCTTTCCTTTGCAGATATCATTCTGAAAGACAAAATCTTCGTTTACGACCTAGCTAATCAACGGATCGGATGGGCTAATTATGACTGTAAGTTGAACTTACTTGCTTAAACTAGCTTTAAGCAATGTCTCAAAGGTAAGTTCTCATTTAGTAGCTTCTAACTCCTCAATCCGCGTATCCATCCTACCAGGTTCAACATCGGTCAATGTTTCAACGATTGAAAACACTGGCAGAACAGAATTCGTGGACCCAGGGCAGCTGGGCAGCAACGGTTCACAGCAAAATGCACATCTAAACAGACTGATACTACAAACTGCTGTGATCAGTTTCCTACTTCATCTGCTTTCGCTTAGAAGCTGCCTGTTCTTGTAGCACATACCTTGCTAACCAGTTAGTATTCTTTCTTCCACTCTCATCATGGCTCAGTCGGTCTATATATTTAGTGTGACCGGCAGCAGTAGGCCCTCACTGATTGATTTGTCTTGACAATGGCTGCAGCTTGACTGCTGGTGTTGAAAACTGGAAATATATGTATAGGTCTTTTCCTTAGTTTCCCCCATGTTTAAAGATCTTGTTTTGTTATCTATGTAAAGGTTATACATTCATACGTATAGAGTAGGTCAGTAGGCCATGATTTTGCTACACATCAGGTGAGTTTGATGTATCTTGGTACCATTCAATTTGAAACCATAGCATTGATCCATTCATAATTTCACATTGTTTGGTAATTTCCGAGCCCCTCACCAATACGCTTAAAGGTCCACGTTCGTGGATGAGCCATTGCGCGACCTGTTCCACTATTTTGATCTTTTCAGGGGGAGATCTTCTGACAACTCCAGTGTTGGCGAACCTTTCGCCTCCTCCTCCTTTCTCGATATCCCCAATGCTCATAGCTAGCTCAGGAGACCACTGCTGAGGAAGCATATACACCTGAGTTGCTTGTATGATGTGCTAGGGTTTAGACTCGAGATAATGCTACATGTCTGCTATACAGTATCCTGACGTCTAAACCGACACTGCCATCGATCGGCATATTCAAAACTGTAATCAATGACAATAGTTCCCAACCAAATGCAGAGTCACTAAGAACTCAATTTCAATCTTGGTGTAGTAATACAGCCTTGAATAACAAAGAACGGGAACAAGGCAAGGAAATGCCAGAGTAATGAAATATGCTCTGATGGCTATATTTACCCCAATGAGTAAAGGATTGAAAAAAGGTCCCCCTTTTTTGACAGTAAGAAAATCCACGACAGCACCGGAGAGGTGGACGGACGGTAGACTGCAACGCCGCCGGGAAGCTGACACACCACCGCCGTCCGCCGGGAATCTCCATATTCCACCGAGAGAAAGAACAAAACAATGATGGGGCCCTCTTCCCTCCAACTCAACCTTCGAATCCGTCCATAAAAACTAGCCGTTAGCCCCGCTCCTTCCCTGCATCGGAAGAAAAACCCTTAAATGCTTTCATTAGCTCCTCCCCTGACAACTGTGTCTCTCCCCCCAAAAAAACAATAATTATAATAACGAAAATTCAAATACAAAGATTCCCCATCTCTCTCTTCCTTCCTTCCTTCATTCTGGTTTCTACTCCTTCACTTCACGTGGTCCATCATATTCAACAGAGGCCAGAGCTACTTAACACCACCATCGTCCATCGCCATCACCAACAGTACAAAAACTGAAAAACCCAAACTTTCCTTTCCCCCTCACACTTTGCTCTGTTTCATTCAATAACCCTATAAACCCACCACCTCCTCCACTCTATTTCCTCCCTCCTTTCTTCTTAACTCTCACACCCATGGTGGTAGCTGGGGGGATTAACAGCAAATACCTAACCACCACCGTTAAGAAGAAGGAGAAATGGAAGCTCTCCTTCTTCTTCTTCCACCTTCTCCTGATTCAATCCGTATTGGGTCAGGATTGGGACGGCGTGGTGGTGACCCAAGCTGATTTCCAGGTGCTGCAATCTTTCAAGCAGGAGCTGATCGACCCAAAGGGGTTTTTGAGGAGCTGGAACGATTCCGGCTATGGAGCTTGCTCCGGCGGCTGGGCTGGGATCAAATGTGCGCAGGGCCAAGTCATTGTGATCCAGCTTCCATGGAAAGGGTTGGGTGGGAAGCTCACTGACAAGATTGGGCAGCTGCAAGCGCTAAGAAAGCTTAGCCTTCATGACAATGTCGTCACTGGGACAATTCCTCAAACACTTGGTGTGCTCCCTGACCTCAGAGGGTTGCAGCTGTTTAACAACAGGTTCTCTGGCTCTATCCCTCCTACTTTAGGTTCTTGCCGCCTGCTTCAAAACCTAGACCTGGGTAATAACTTGCTTGCTGGTAGGATCCCAGATAGATTAGCCAATGCGACCAAGTTGTTTAGAATCAATTTGAGTTACAACTCTTTATCAGGTCCAATCCCACCTAGCTTAACCCATTCTCCTTCTCTCGCTTACCTTGATCTTCAGCACAATAACCTCTCTGGTTCGATTCCTGACTCTTGGGGTTCCAGTTTTAGCTCAAAGAACAAAGCTTTTCCCCCGCCCGTGCTTCAGTACTTAGCCATTGCCCACAACTCCATCTCTGGGTCCATCCCACTTAGCCTTTCAAATCTTTCCTCGCTCCAAGTTCTGGAATTGGAGAGCAATTTGCTTGATGGGCAAATCCCTGAAGGAATGGGTAATTTGCAGAACCTTTCTATCCTCAACTTGAGGAGAAATCAGTTAGCTGGTCCAATCCCTGTGACATTAGGAGAGATCCCAACATTAACTAGGCTAGATTTGTCTGAGAATAAGTTTAGTGGTGAAATCCCACATTCACTTGCAAACTTATCTAGGCTTAGCTCATTCAACGTCTCCTACAACAATCTATCCGGCCCTGTACCCACTGAACTCTCCAGCAAGTTCAACTCCACTTCCTTTGTGGGGAACATTCAGCTGTGTGGTTATTCTGGAGCAACTCCATGTCCATCTCCACCTCCATCATCACAGATTATCCCAACTCAACTTCCTAAGAAGAAGAAGAAGCTGAGTACCAAAGACATTATCCTGATTGCAGCTGGGGCACTTCTCATTGCGCTGCTGATACTCGTGTGTGTACTGCTCTGTTGCTTGGCGAGGAAGAGAACAGCAGCAAAGGCTAAAGAAGGGCAACCGTCAACGGCAGCAAGAACTGCTGCTGCTGGGGTGGCAGGAGGCGAAAAGGGTGCCCCTCCGACTGCTGCTGAAGTCGAGGCGGGTGGTGAAACTGGAGGAAAGCTAGTCCATTTCGATGGGCCGCTGATGTTCACTGCTGATGATCTTCTGTGTGCTACTGCTGAGATTATGGGGAAGAGCACTTATGGAACTGTTTATAAGGCCACATTGGAAGATGGGAGTCAAGTTGCTGTGAAGAGGTTGAGGGAGAAGATTACCAAAGGTCAGAGGGAGTTCGAAGCTGAAGTCAATGTGCTTGGCAAGATCAGGCACCCGAACCTTCTTGCTCTCAGGGCTTACTATTTGGGGCCTAAGGGGGAAAAGCTTCTTGTGTTTGATTACATGCCAAAGGGCAGTCTTACAACTTTCCTCCATGGTAAGAACTAAGAACCTCAACAAACACAGTTCATGTATTTGAAATCGGATCAAAGCTCATATCTTTGCAATCTCTAATTATGCAGCTAGAGGACCGGAGACCCCAATCGATTGGCCAACTCGAATGAAAATAGCTCAAGGCATGACCAGGGGACTGCTCTACCTACACAACAACGAGAACATCATCCATGGCAACCTCACATCGAGCAACGTCCTCCTCGACGAGAGAAACGAATCCAAAATCGCAGACTACGGACTGTCTCGCCTGATGACAGCAGCAGCAAACACCAACGTGATTGCTACAGCTGGTGCATTAGGTTACAGGGCACCCGAGCTGTCGAAGCTCAAGAAAGCCAACACCAAGACCGACGTTTACAGCCTCGGCGTGATCATCCTAGAGCTTCTGACTGGGAAGTCACCAGGGGAGGCGATGAATGGAGTGGATTTGCCACAGTGGGTTGCCTCCATTGTTAAAGAAGAGTGGACTAACGAAGTGTTTGATGTGGAGTTGATGAGGGATGCTACTGAGATCGGTGATGAACTGCTTAACACGTTGAAACTGGCACTGCACTGTGTTGATCCGACGCCTTCAGCGAGGCCAGAAGTTCAGCAGGTGCTTCAGCAGCTGGAAGAGATCAGGCCGGTTGCTGGCGGTGGTGATGGTAGTTCAGGACCGTCCGGTGATGACAGAGCTGCAGTTCCTTCATCGAGTGAGTAGAGTGACTGATCGAGTGAGTGAGTGATTGTTAGGAAAGCCCAATTCTTTCATTCTTGCTGGTGTCCTAGCTAGGATTTTGATTTAGTTAGTTATGTTTGTGAATACCACGTTTGGTTTGAAGATGTCTCAATGTGTTTGTTTCTTTAGGTCGGATTTCTTTCAGCTATATGGAGAGAAAGTGATTCAAATCTTGTTAGTTCTTGCATTGTAATACTTCTGGGTGCTGCTTAAGGAATGGCTATTGTGGTCGAGCTCTGCTGCTTATTATCCTAGACAGAACAGGAAAAAGAGTTGCAGTCATAAAATGAGTTTTTTTTAATCAATTTTTCTATTTAATTCTGAAACTCGTGAATTATTATTGCTCATGAAAAGGCAAAATTGAAAGGGCATCTAGTCAGTAACCAAGTTACTATAGTATATAACTATTTTTCTAGTTTAATTTAATGAGATTTTTCTTTTTTTTGTTTTAGATTGGAATTCAAAATTTTTTACAAAAAAAGCAGATTGATCATATTTTTCAAAAATGACATCTACTTTTTTGCTACATGATATAAATGCATGGACCAACAGACTTCATACTACAGTCTACATTATGTTATATGTTTTGGGCTTTTGGCTATGTACATACTATAGGAAAAAATCCCAAAGTACACTAGTTTTTAAAAAAAAATTCCCAAAATACATAAGTTATAAAAAAATTTCCAAAAGTACACATGTTTGGGCATCACCGTGTTTGACAAAAGCGGTGAAGGTTATCATCGCGTTTGTCAAAGACGGTGAATATTTCACCGTTCTAAAAAACAACGGTGAAGTATTCACCGTTTTTGTACAAAACGGTGAAGGAATCACCGTTTTAAACAGAGACGGTGAATACTTCACCGTTTTAGGCAAAAACGGTGAAGCCTTCACCGTTTAAGTGGTCCACGGTGAAGGCGCTGACGTGGACTAACGCGGGGTATTCACCGCGTTGGACAAACACGGTGAATACCCCGTGTTTGTTTGCGTCAGCGATCCGCGTCGCTGGCGCGTTCACCGTGGCCGTTGGATACGGTGAGGCGCGGATCGTGGTTTTCTTTCCAGATCCGACGCCTCACGCTGAGCCACGTCGCTCGATCCGCGCCTTATCACCGTCCTCGAGAAACGCGGTGACTTCACCGTTTCTGTTAGACGCGGTGAAGGCTGGGAGAATTTAATTCTCGGCAGATCCCTTCCCCCTTCCCCCAACTATAAATACCCCCTTCCCCTTTCACTTTCAACTCACCCCACAAACATTTCACTTCTTTCTCCCTCAATTTATCCGCTCTAGTCTCGTTCTAAGTATGCTCTGTGGTTGCGGCTAAGTCCGATCTTCCACATAAGAAAGAATTACTAGAGTTTGACCCTAAAGCCCCCGTCCCGCTAAGTTCCCGTCCCGCTCAAAACTAAAACGCGCGTATCTTATTCGTTTGTGGTCGAAATAACGAGCCGTTTGCGGTAGCGCGATCGTATCGACAAGGACAACATTTTAGAAACAACAAAATACTTAGAATTCAGATGCAAACGGTAATGAAAAATTAAACAAGCGATCAATTTAGTAGCAGAATACAAGTAAATGCAAATTAAGTTGATGGTTGTCCTGGGCAACGCCTCTTGTCGTGACCAGGTTGTCTGCACTTAGAGCATCGCTTCGGACCCCTTCTCGTCCGTTCAACTTGATCCATCTCATTGTGTATCCTTTCAACTCTAGGACGGCCTTTGGTGCGTTTTAGGTGCAACGGTGGGATAATCAACTTTCCAGCGTATATAGGCCAATACGCTTCATCTGGCATGGGGCTCAAAGCTGCATTATATGAGTTCCGTATCGCTTGTTCAGTGTAGTAAGGACTCACCAGGCTGTTTCTGTTCATGGTTATTGACTTAGCAACCGCCATTGCATGTGAACAGGGTATCCTTTCGTTCTGATACTTTTGACAAGAACACTCCCCTAATTCGTAGTGCAATTTAACCGTTTGACGATTGTGACCACGTCTCCCTCCACCCCATATACCTGTTTCGACAGCGAATATTCCTTCACTGCGGTCAAAAAGAACAACCTTATGCTTACTTGATTTTTCATCGTTCTTCTGCATTTGAGCGAATACGTCATGTGCTATTGAATGACCTTGCAACTCCCTCCCTATTGCTAGCTGTAGCCGAGCAACTCGCCACTCGTTGACCTTCCAGTAAGACATCTCCACGATGACAGAAATAGGCATCGCTCGAAGACCCTTGTACACATTATTTATACTTTCTCCATGGTTGGTAGTTGCAATGCCCCATCTGGCCCCGTCGTCCATATGGAACGTCCACATGGGCAACTCTTGACCTTCAGCCCATACTGCTCCAGCTCGGTGGGTATGACGGATCGTTTTCATCTTCTCCTCGTACTTTTTTGGTTGATGTGCAACCGCTAAAAGGTGAACAAAAGACTAACTGGTCAATACATGATGAATAAAATTTTGATTATCAGCTTAATAAACACAAACTTAAATCGCATAAGTAAAACATTAGTACCTGCATTCCAAAGTAGATTCTTGATGTCTTTCTTCTTCCCAAATTTGTGTTGGAAATTGGCGAGCCAGTGTCGAATACACCATCTCCATCTCCACCCCCACTCGTCGGGAAAACCACCAACAGCATTCCTTATCCCCGCATGTCGATCGGATATAATCGTAATATCTTCCCGTTGTGTCACGTGCTCGTGCAGTTGGTCAAAGAACCAAGCCCAACTTAAGCTGTTCTCCCCCTCCACTAATGCAAATGCAAGCGGGAAAATCCGCCTGTTTCCATCTACGCCAGTGGCAATTAGAAGACATCCTTTGTACTTCCCAGTAAGGAAAGTTCCGTCAACCTGAATAAAAATTAAGACTATAATTAGTATGAAATATACTAAACAACAAATAATACAACATTTAAAACTGGAACTAGTTGGTAAAATACCTGAATAACCGGTATGCAGAACCCAAATCCGTCAATGCATGGTTTAAAAGCCCAAAAAAGACGATGGAACATCAACTTATCCTGTACTCGAACTTGATCCTCAGTGTATACATTGTTGTATACTGGGACGAAAACAGTCCCAGGATTGGACTCCTCCATTGCTCCCATAAGTCTAGGGAGTAAAGCATACGAATCCTCCCAATCACCATACACCTCAGCCATGGCTTTCTGCTTACCATGCCATGCTTTTTTATACCTTATCGTGTAAGAATGTCGATCCTTCACCTCTGCCATGATAGCTTTCACCTTGATATTTGGTTGTGCTTCTATAAGGTGCTTAATAGTTCTCCCAACCTTCTTTGCTTTTAGTTGCCTGTGATCTTGGGAAAGTATAGAAGAGGAGCATGTGTGGATCGTCTCAGCTTTGCGAATCACCCAAGCACCCTTTCTCTTCATATTTGCAGCCCGCAGTTGCCACGTACAACCCTCTGCATCATGCTTGCATATGACATGTAGTTGTTTACTGTCAGAATATTTTACCTTCCACTCGAAATTGCGCCTCAAAGCCTCTTCTGTAAACGCATCCTGCACAGCGTATTTCGATGGGAACGCCATACCCACCTCCAAATTGGCCGTCGGATTGTACACTGGCATAGGGACATAATCGGGGGGATCATTCTGACTATGTAAAAATTGAGTTTGAACCTGTGTGTAATATGGCGTGGGTGCCTCACGAAATGCCGCCTCATCCTCGTTATCATCAGTATCTTCCTCCTCCTCGCTCACTGATCTCAAATCTTCCTCAGTATCCTCGTCGCTCGACTCGAATGGATAGCTCGGGCTAGAAGGATCAACATGACCACGATCACCAACATCGTCCTCTCGCTCATGTGAAGTACGCCCTGATCGAATGGTATTCTCGATTCCATACCACTCTGGCCCCCAAGCAGGCCATTGAACACCATCGGCCTCAACAAATGGGGCTGGTTTAGGAGGTTGCGAGTATTTGTCCCATCCTGCACTACTCGATCCACCGTAGTTGATTGAACCACCACCCTCCCCGTAACCTCCTGTATAACCACCGCCTTGGTAGTTGCTCGAACTACCACCCCATTCGTACCCTCCTGCAAAACCATCATCATAAGAATACTGGTGAGAATGAGATTCACCGACCGCCTCGGTCTCAACATACACCTCTGCAAGCCGGACTTGGTTATCGCTTAGGAACTGTAACATCATCGTAACCGCGTCATCATCGTTTATGACAACTTCTTGGAAAACGACCCCGCCAGCACTCATGTCTGGATACCGGTAAGTAATTTTGCCAAGTCTCGTCTGTCCGCTCGTACAAACCCTTTCTGCACAAAGATCACAGAGTTCTTGAAAATTGAATCGGGAACCAATGTTCAGCATAATGGATTCGTCGTCCTCATAATCAATGCCTATGTTAGAGTTTGTCACCCTTCCATTCCACCGAATAGTAAGATGAAACTTCTTCAATTTACCCATATCTACAAATCGAGGATAAGTATATATTAGCTTAAAGACAGTAAAATTAACCAAAATCATATTGTACAACTAATATTGTCCATCTCATAACTAACGAAAATAAATTCAACTAACTAACAACAACATAATACGAAAATTAAATCATACTATAACTAACGAACATAAATTCAACTAACTAACAACAACATAATACGAAAATTTAATCATACTATAACTACTAAAAACATAATTAGACAATAATACGAAAAGTCTCAACATACCGAAAAATGTCTGTTCTGTGTATTATGCTCGATTTTTGTTGCTGAAATTTGAAGAAGGGGGGAGTGGTTATGTTTTTGCTTCTGCTGGTGGGTTGGTATTTATAGGAAAATCTGCCTATCATTCACCGTTTTTGTCAAAAACGGTGAACAACATCACCGCGTTTGTCTCAAACGGTGAACAATAGGTAGGTGTGACCTAATTTTGACCTACCAGGGGTGGGAAACGTGGGAATATATCACCGCTTTACCCTAAAACGGTGAAGGTAATCACCGTTGTCAACAAAAACGGTGATGTATTCACCGTCTTCCACAAACGCGGTGAATACATCACCGTTTTAGATAAAGGCGGTGAATACGTCACCGTTTTGGTTTTAAACGGTGAAATATTCACCGTCTTTGACAAACGCGGTGATTATCTTCACCGCCTTTGTCAAAAACGGTGATGCTCAAACATGTGTACTTTTGGAAAAAATTTTATAACTTATGTATTTTGGGAATTTTTTTTAAGAACGTGTGTACTTTGGGATCTTAAGCCAGACTATAGGGTGATCAAGCTTCTAGGATTCTCATGGATATGACACAATGTTGTTAAAATCTGCCGAATCATTGGCAGCTAAAGTCGAAGAAGCACAAAACATTATCAACCAGACAAGACACTAGCTATGGCTGCTATTTTGAACATTCACAAGCTAGCTACATTATAAGAGGTCTTTTGGTTGTTGGATTTGGAGAGTGGAATTGTGACCCAAATCCCAAAATTCATGACTTCAGCCTTAAATCTCATGTTTTTCATTGTTTGTTTCTAGTGCTAAATTCATGGGATCATGGTGTTACGTGGATAACCAAAGAATAGACTTTAGAACAAAGAGAATTAGGCTAGAACAAAGAGAAATAGACTTTAGGACGGAAAGAACTTTTGGACGAAGAAGGAAGCAAGACTCAAGAGTTGGATTCCAATCTTCTTATATTATCAAACGAAAGACAATGTATATATTTATACGGCTAAACCCTAATCCTAATCCTACTCGGCTAGTGTGACTTGCCGCCTACTCCAACCTCAAGAGCAATCCTAAGTCCTAACTACACCTAGACACTACTCACGTAATAACCTAATCCCATGCCAACAATAATGATAATTATTATTAGTTATTATTATTAGTTATTATTAGTTAGAATTATTAAAGCTCAAGTTATCGAAGGCTTAATTACTGTTCCTTACGAAAATTCCGCAAAACCCAATTGATTAGAGAAATCACTGTTCATTAAGGAATTGTATTATGTGGTTGTGTCTAACTTAGTTCCTGTGGAGACCCCTAGCGGCTAGACAAGCTTCAGCCGAGAACCCTAGCTAAGGCAGGGGGAACATTCTCAAACTTTAATTGTTTTTGTCTCTTTTATAAGAAGAAACCAAGGAGGTAAGTTACTTCGTCTTTACCCACCAATTTAACATCAACCTGAATTCAATTCAAGTTAATTTTCATGTTTAGAATGATTTGTTTGCAAATAAACATGATAGTTATAAGGATGCACTTTGTGACAATAATAATTAACTTTTGAAAAATATACGGATGTAATCTCATTTTGAAAAAAATACCTTTATCATTAACTAAATTCTCGACCATTTCATTTATTTCACTACACAAAATTTTTGTAAGGTCAGTTGGTTTTGTAGAATAATTTAATCAAATGTGATACTTTGTATAACTTAATTTATTTGATATCAACTACAATATTCACCCTTGTCAGAACAGAAGCGTGCAATCGATAATCCAAACCAAGACGAACGAACACGAATTTAACGTGGTTCACTACCACAATGTGTGTTAGCTAATCCACGGGCAAGGGAGAACAAATTTCACTGATTTGAGGAGAGTACAGGTTACAAACCAAATTCCGGAACAGACAAACCAAACCCATATACACTTCACTCATACCCTACCCATACCCTACCCATATTCGACGAGTTTATTGGGGTTTGGATAAAATTACTCAATTTTACCCATGAGTAATTGCCATCACTACTTAAACCTGGTCCATAGTGTAACCTCTTTCTGTTATAATGGAGGGATAGAAAGAGAAGAAAGATAGTTTGGTGGTTTAGGAAAATAGAATTAAGCAGAATGAGAATAGGAAGAGAAGGGGCTGGTTGAAGCCTGAAGGGACCAACCTCCAAAGTCCTAACACATAATCTCAAACAGTATCTTCTTAACGGAACGATTAAAGCTTAAATAAACCAAATACAAGCTAACCCTTAATCCTACAACACGACCTGAGTGGTTTCATGAGATAGCCAATAAACTAAAAACGTAATCGAAGATCAACTGTAGAAGGAATTCAGAGGGCAATATCAATTTTAGCAACCAGTAGAAGGTTTTACTACATTACCAGGAACTGAAAAAGGCAGAACGCAAAGGTAGATATGCACGAGTATCATATATCATACACATCCGTCTACATAACCACAACTCCATAAATAACACTATCATTGCAGCACCGGAACCATACAACAATAACTCGTTCACACCTTCACTCTAGATTTCCTCCATGCCTCAGTACCGTAAGCTAGCCATACTCCGCTATTCTTGATGACGAACCACAGCACACTCTGCTGCTCGTCTAGATCTATGCTTAGTTTATCAGTTGTGTCACCTTTTGATATGAACAACCCAAGTAAAGGATTAGAAATGTGTCAAATTATTATCCCTCCATGGCAACAAACATAATGAAAAAGGGCACTAAAAATTGAAAAAGGCTTACATACCAGACACTGTACATGAATCCCAAAGTACCCTCCTTGATGTTCTCCTCTGGTTCTTCAGCAAATTCGGTTGCAACATCTTCCAGACCATAACAAAGCCAAGTCAAGGGGATTTACATTAATTAACATTTGCAACGTTGTTAGACAACTCTATCTCAAGCACGTTGTCTAAACAAGGCAGCATACTTCACGAATATGCACACAATACTTACTCTAGTAATAAAAACAGGATATATGTTCACCACAATAGGAGAGCGATTCTTTACCTGGCACTGGAATTGGAGTCGGCCAAAAAGGAATCGAAGGCTGGAATACAGCCCAGCCGATTGGATCACCTACTCCAAACCTGCCCCAATATTTAAACCTAAGATGGGTCGCATTAATATCAGCAATCGGTATAATCTCTCCCACTACCTTGTGCCTAAGCACATCAAAGGGGACAACATAAATAGGATCGTAAGAATAATCCTCAGGCAGTTTCAGGTCGCCAATGCGACCATCTCTGAAGTGATGATTGAAATCAAAGAAGAAAGGGTCGTGATTATGCTTTTTAGCATAATCACGACACTCAAAATAGATGACCTCTGGCCTGCTTGGGTGAACACCCAGTACCCCCAACCGTGTCTTCTTCCTCCTTCCTCCTTCTATCTTGTTCATTTTATGTCGTCGGACAATAACGTTGTATAACACTCGCATGGACACCTGATAGTCCAAACTCCATCTATAGCCGCCCACCAAGTCCTGGTCCTCTCCCAGCTTCCAGAGACTAAAGAATCCATCTTTGTTGTAGGTTGATGGACCTGGGCGTGGAAACACCATCCCACGCAAAAAGCCTTGGGAAACTCCAACCAAGAAATTGTTGTTAACAATATCATTGGACCATAAATGAGAACAATCAACCAAATTGATCTGTGGTGGACTTTGCTCGCTGAAAGGATCGTAAACAGCAACCTTGGCTTGCGCAGTCTTCCAAAATAGCTTCGTCCCTGCTGAAGTAGAGGTAGAATGAGCACTGCCGATGCCAATATAGGGTGCGGTGGGAGGTATAACTGTTTCTTCAACCTCCACTTCCTGATATCCATAACTAGAGAACTTCCACTCCCACGACTCAGAGCAGAAGGTGGTCACTCCAAGACCATTACGACTTTTGAAAAAGAACACTACACGGAATCGAAACTTGGGATTCTTCAGCAGCGTTGTCCCCACATGACTACTACTGCTAGATGCATCATCATAATAAAAGCAGGGTTCGCAAACAAATCCAATTAGGGATGCCTCCATCTCGGTACCCGAACGATGAGTTCCAAAGTAGAACCCTTCGCGACATGTGAGGTGTCGAGGGACCAGAGGGAGTGTGACACAATGCTTTGTAAACGGATTGCAGACAAAGAACCTCCTGCGGTACCTGTTTTTAGGTCTAATCCTCCCGCACAGGAGCAAGTCGTTGCAGCACGAGATGACTTGGATAGTGTGGCGGTCATCATTGTTGGAGAGGAAATGTGAAGGAACGATGCTCCTCACGATTGATTCGTGTGTTTGGGGCCGATCGAAATAGATCAACAGAGGTCGCCTCTCCTCCATTTCGCCGGTCAGGTTGATCCTGTGGCGAGAAACCAACTGATGGAGGGTGTCGGGATCGGAGATGAGCAGGTTCCAACGCTTGCAGACGGATTTGCACGCACAAACCGATCTGGGATTCGGAAGGCGTTGCAGAATGTAGATGAGGAGACTATCGGGGATATCGCTGATGAGGGAATCAGATTTGGCACTAACTGGCCGACCTTCAGCTTCCCGTTGTCTCTTGCGGCGTAGGCCGGCTTGCTTGGTTCCGCAAACACCAAGCTTTCCAGCATTTGAACTAGATGCTGCTGCTTTCCGTACGGTATTGCAGCTGCGGAGGAGAGGCCGGAAACGGGCTGAGCCCGCTGTTACTGCCTCCATCGCTGCCGAGTCGATCCCCAAACATTGCTCTCAAATAAAACCCAGCAGAACCGAGGCATCGGAGATAGCATACTGCTCACTGCTCAGCCTAGCCGATCGAGAGAAACAGCCGTTGACGGCTTCATCATCAAGACTAAACCCTAACCTTGAGCACGCGAAACTGGAAGGGGCATGGTAGGGCAAGATGGGATATAGCAAGCTTTACAGATAAAGACTGTTAAACGTCGGATACAGTCCAGGAATATGACAATGGCCCAGTCCCAGGCCCAGGTAAGTCGTTTGAGGTTTACTGGTTTAATCCAAAATCTAATCTGACCGGTTTAGACTTTAGACCATCTTCAACAATAGCCTAGAAACACAAAAATTCCAAAGAAGCTTTTTTTATTATTATCAAAAGATCACTCGTATTACCGAGAAAAACAACCAGATACAATAGAGTTCAAATGGCGAACCCAACTAAAGAAGGGAACAATGAAAGTGCTTTTCGTGCCACTAAATGGGCAACCGTATTACAACAACGACCAACAAACCAAACCGAGAACTTCTGGAAAGTTTGACGAAGCACTATTATCTCCTCGAGGATCCTCCCCCCAAGGATGTCAGCGGTCGTCTCTTCCACGATCTTGTCGATGACAACCTTAGCATCACCCGCTAAAAGGATTGTCGTTAAACCCCGAGCAACACAGCAACACATTGCATCCCGAAAAGTCAACAACTCCACAAGGAACATATAATCAATAAACTCATATAACTTCGCCTCCGCAGTCACCACCTCTCCCGACTTATCCTTTAATACTTAACCCCCAGCGCCATGAGACCCACATCTCACTGCCCCATCAATCCGAACCACCCAAATGCCCGGGCTCATAACAGAATTAAGACCCCCGAAATGTCTGGTAATGCCACCTCCACCATCCATGCTCAACTACTCTTCATTCGCCATCTCGCGTTCAACAACATGCAAACGAAATTGAGAAAGCATAACAGGTATGGTGAAAAAAGTAAAATCAAATACCACCCAATTGTGCGCCTTCCAAATCCTCCAAAACAAGGTCACAATGTACATTAAAACCTGACAATCCAAGTTATCATGATCTAGAAATCGTCTCCAAAAGGTAGCCATGTAAACCTGGGGGAAATTCTCTCGGACACCATCTAAACCAGTCCCTTCACAAAGACCTTGGGCCACCTGGCAGCGGAAGAAGAGGTGTTCAAGAGACTCATCCTCCCCACACATCGGGCATCCCCGCACACCAGTCACCCCCTCAGACTGAGTGCCTCCCCTGTTGGCAAAACCCGACGTACCAACTACTATATGAAGTACTTCAATTTTGGGGGCAATGATGTCGACTAGATACTCTTCCATAATCCACGATCCCAAGGAGCCACCCCCTGTTTACTAAGCAGCTCCTTCTCCCGCTGCAATTGAGAAGTTAAGTGATACCCCGACTTAATTGAGTATACACCCGAGGACTCCCCAATTCAAACCAAACGATCAGGAACAGGATCAATCGGCAGGGGAATAGACGCAATTTCCCGAACTATGTCCTCTTCAAAAAAAATTCGAAGATAATCCATCCGCCAAACCCCACTACAGTGGCTGAATCAGTGAAGCAATCATCCCATTCACCCTAACAATCCCTTGCCGAGCACGAGGAGGGCATGGATGAAAGCGAGGCACCCAATTATCATGAAGAACATCCACCATTGTCCCGACCCCACCTCCAACAGAGACCTTGTCTCAACAAATTTCTCTCATGAAGAATCTCACGCCAACCCCAAAAAGGGAGAGAGCCATAAGAAGCCTCCAAAATAGAAATATGAGGATAATACTTTCCTTTCAGCAATCGTACCACTAGCGAATTTGGCTCTGTCCAAAGATGCCAAGCCAATTTTGCTAAAAGTGTGTGATTAAATTCCTCAAAACGTCAAAATCTCACCCCTCCTTCATGTTTACTCATACACAGTGTCTTCCAAGCAACCCAACTGATTCTCTTTTCCCCATGCTGCACTCAACACTCCCCACCACAAGCAGGTCAGATGTCTATCCATTGATCGACATAACATGACAGGAAACATGAAACACGACATCCCATAGACTGGCAAGGCATTCGACACAGTTTTAATGAGAATCTCATTGGGAGCCCATGAAAGACATTGTTGCTTCCATCCCTGAAGTCTACTTAACACCCTTTCCTCGAAACATCTGAACGTCTCCATCTTAGATCGACCCACCAAGGAAGGGAGTCCAAGATACTGATCAGTCACGATAACCGATTCAACCCCCAGAATCCATCCCAACACCTCCGCATCAGGCAATAAGATATCCCGACTGAAGCACACTGCAGACTTAGCCAAGTTAACCTTTTGGCCACTAAGCATCTCATACTGAGTTAGGAGCGCGACCAGTGACTCACATTCCATTGGTAAGGCCCTAAGGAATAAGTACGAATTATCCACAAAGAACAAGTGCAAAACGACTGAACATCTTGGACTAATACACAGACCAGTTAGCGAACGATATTCCAGCGCATCTGATTAAAGCTACAAACCCCTCCGTGCATAAGGCAAACAACAAAGAAGACAACGAGACGACATAAAGGAACCCACCGAGACGACATAATGTAACCCACCGACTGTCCATTCAGCATGACCGAGAAAGTAGAAGAAGTCACATATGCTCGAAGCCATTTAATCCATTGCGCACTTAAACCAAGTTTCTCATGCAATGCGAACAAAAATGGCCATTCCATCCTATCATATGCCTTCTCCATATCCACATTCAGTGTCATAAACCCTTATTTGCCGACTCGCTTATTCTTCAAATAACGCATAACCTCGTGCCAATGTAGTCAAAATCCCCATTTTAATCTTAAAATCTAACAATTTTACGATCTTACTTATGGGTTTCGATCCTGATTTACCTGTAAAATCTTTGAACCTTAAAATCCCATAAAATCTCTAAAATCGTTAAAATCTACGATTTCTATGATTTTGTACGATTTCAAGGTTCATATCAATTGGAGCAAAATTAGGCCGGTTAAGTCGAGTTTTGCCCATGGACCGAGTCAAGTTTACTTCCCCTGACCCAACATAATGAACAACATAACCCTAACCCAAGAGACAACCCTCAATTTATTTCATTCTCTTCCTCATATCTTCCTCTTTCGCACGTCGACGCCCAACTCCTTTCATCAATGATATCTTCCATCCTCCCAATTAGCTTGTAGTTTGTTCCCACCACACTCACAATAATCCAAATATCCATTCCATTGCAAGCTTTCGTTCATCTCCCAATCATTCAGCACCACTATCCCCAACTTTTACCAATTAAGAAGGGAATGCATCAATCAATGAGTTATCTTTGACAGATGATGATGATCAAGGAAATATGGTTAATGGTGCAAGTACTTCAAGTGAATCTTCTAAGAGTAATAATATTAGTCCTCAAGCAAATAGACAAGGATGAGAGTGAGAGTGAGGATGATGATGATGATGATGTGTAAGTGATGTTAATGTTGATCCTAATGATCTTATGTAATTTTCTACTCTTAACTATTAATTAAGTGATTTCTATGAGGTTCCAGGTTGCTTATTTATGGGTTTATATGTGGTTGATTGTTATCCAGTATATGCATTTTTGTTACTATCTGGTGTTTTAAGTCTTTATTTAATACGAACCTTAAAATCTTACATTTTATGATTTTAACCTACGTTTCTGATTCTACCTTGGTTTTTGATTTTACTTAAAATCCCGATTTTGACTACATTGCCTCGTGCTCAATAAGGACGTTATCCACTATCTGATGCCCACGCACAAATTCATTCTGCCCCGGTGAAACTATCGATGCTAAATATCGCGCCAATCGTTCCGCTAAGATCTTTGCAATTATCTTGTACACAAACTGGCATAGACTAATGAGACGAATTTGCGTCATTCTCTCCACCTTCGAAATCAAGGTCAACCAAGTGTGATTGAAAATTTTCAAAAGATAACATGTCTCAAAGAAATGACACACTGCCGCAATCACATCCTCCCGAACAAAATCCCAAAACGGACGAAAGAATATTCCAGTAAATCCATCCAATCTCGGAGCTTGAGTTGCCCCAATTTGAAAAACACTTCGGCGGACTTCAGCAGGCAACACCAGGGCCATTAGTCTCTCATTCATTCGCCCAGATATGCACTGTGGAAAATTTAATTCTGCAATTGCCTCTTCAATCGGCTGAGGACAGACACCGCCTGTTGAGAACAAATTTGTATAGAAATTACAAGACACCTGTCATTTCTCCTCCTCTGAAACAACCCAATCACCCGTCGCATTATACAGTTCATGGATGAAATTTCTGCATCTCCGAGTTTTCGTAACCGTGTGAAAATAGTGCGTATTCTGGTCCCCTTCCCTCATCTACTGAATCCGAAATTCCATCTCCGAAGAAGCTTCTCCAACAAAGATTCTAGAATGCTAAAAATCCAAAAAGTAGGAAATTTGGTGTCAAATTTGGCACACAGACAGGTAAGAAAATGGAGATTTTTTTTTAACAAAGGGATTACTTGCATTGCACTTTGAATGATCGATTACAAGAGAACCAACAAAGCAAACCAAAATTAGAACAAGGACAGACAAACATAAGCACATAGATGCTCAATCTGCACTGGATACAACAAGAAGAGCACAAAACCCAGAAGGAGCCATCCAACAAAGGATCTGCATCACCTTTGTAGAGGAAGGCGGTGATTGCATCACCAGTGCATCACCGCTTTAGAGAAAGGCGGTGAAGGCCTGACCTGCGTCAAATATTTAAAAAAAACGTAACTTTGTGCTCGGTTATCCGATCGTAGTGAAATTTTTTTTGATTCCACATAATTTTTCGAGATCTTGCAAGCCGCAAACCGCCGAAGGTCCCCCCTTCGTCCCGAAAAAACGTCGTTTGCTACCCCAAATGAGCCTTTTTTCGATTTTGTCAAACTTTGAACGACCATAACTTTGTGCTCCAAAATCCGAAAATCATGAATTTTTTTTTATTTTGCATAACTTTTTTAGGACTACAATTTTTAGTAGGAGAGAATTTTCATAAAATGAATTATTTTGGATATACGGGGTTTTGCTTGTAAGTTTACCTTTCCTTTTTAGGAATCCAAGTACATTCCGAAATTATGTCTACGATAAAAATTGTAGTCTTAAAAAAGTTATGCAAAATCAAAAAAAATTCATGATTTTCGGATTGTGGAGCACAAAGTTATGGT